CGCGTTCCTGGCTGGAGCCGCCGGGCCGGGGGGCAGTTTCCCCGGTCCGGCGGCCCTGCTCCTGTCACAGCTGTGCCTGATGGAGGAGGAGCATGTCTCTGTACCAGGAACCGCGAGGGAGCAACGTACAGAGACATGAACCTCCTCCATCAGCCACAGCAGTGACAGGAGCAGGGCCGCCGGACCGGGGAAGCTGCCACCCGGCCCGGCGGCATCAGCCAGGAACGCAGCCGGCCCCCAGGTGCCGCGGCCCACCGGGAAATATCCCGGTATCCCGGTGGGCCAGTCCGGCCCTGATTAATGATCCTACATTGTCACACGAGTTACAATTTCCAAATACAAGAAATCACTAGCCAAGGGCTGGCAGAAGCCATTGCACGGTTTGAGTCCAATGACCAAATATTGCTTGACCACAGCCAACTATATAAATGAACAAAAAGGTTACAAGGATATGATCTGCTTATTAAGACATGCTGTCACTGAGTAAATGAGAGTTCTCTCTTTCAGTTTTTCTTTGTTTTACTTGTGCATAAGAAAGTTGTGCTCCAGAAGCCTACTTATTCTTAATACGCTTTAGGTCACGCACTTGAATTGATTAATTAAGCAGAGATAAGCAATCTGCAATAACCTGAGTTCTGAGTGTCCTGGCTACATGGACTGGCCCAATTTGCTTAAACATAAAGTATTAGATGTCCTGGATTGTAACATGTCGAAGGGTAGGGGAAAATCCTTGTTCATTTATTGGTATAAAAGAACAAAACATTGAGGAGCTTATACTAGGTTTTGCCATCCCCTAAATTGTCTCACCCTTAAAAGTTCTGAGTCCAATTTACCCACTTGAACCGTTTATATGCAGAGTAATGGCAAAATACCTTCTGAACTCAACAAATCGGAATCTAGACCTCTGGCTGCATGGACTTACATTTCAGCAATGGGTAGACAGGGTGGAAGAAATGAGGAATTAACATGGTTATTCACTAAAGTCCAAACGACTGATTACCGAATTTGGTGCTGTACCCATTGACAGTGGGTGGGAGCTATTCATTTAATAATACATGTGGGGACCTAATATCATCCACAGCCCTACCCATGGGCAGTGGCTGGGGGTTACTAATAAAATATAGAAGGGATTGCAAATGTCATTGTCCAATCTCCCCAAAAAATGTTGGCCACTGTCCAACCCCCACGAAGGCTAGCGGTCCTCAAGCCCCTAGAAACCTCACCATTAAACCCCCCCAAAACTGCCTACCCCTCTCACCCTATGCAGAGCACCTCTTATAGTTGGGGGAGGGGGCAGGGGGGAGTCTTTCCCACACTTTGAAACCTCAACAAAGCACTCTGATTGCTTCACTTGTAAGCCAACTAATCAACGTGCTCTAATGGCATCTCTTACTGCTCTCAAAACTTGCCTGGGAATATTCTAATGGGAAGAGTAAATGTTAGCATACATGCCCCCACCCACAGCGTAGTAGATGGGGGCATAAGGGAGGTTTTAAACCTTGATTATAATAATATGGGGTCATATTGAGCAACATAGATTTTTTCTTTTAAGTCCTTGCTAGCAGTCACATGATTAACCCTTGTACTGCCATGGTTATTTTTTATTTTTTAACTATTTTCCCGCTGGCTGCTAGCACTGCCAGTGTGCAAATAGTACTTCACATTTTTGTTCACTTGTAAAAAGCAGATGAATGATAATTTGCGAATGTGCATCCTACTGAATTCAGTTTAAAATCAGTTTAAAATCAGAATGCCAGACAGAGAATGCTTCCAACCGAATGACATAAATTCAGTCAAATCAACAGAATTTTGACTGGAATTGGCATTAGTAAATAAGAGAAAGGTCATTCCTATCAGAATTTGGCAATTTTCACCAAATTCTGTCCATTTTATAGTGAATAATCCTGTATGGAGGCACTGACCACCTTCCTGTGTAATATAAAACTTCCTTTCCCTTCCCATGTTTCCTTTGTTTTTCTTTTTCTATAATGCCATTGTAAAAATGTATTGCATGGATCAGGGCATACATGGCACATACATATTGCATCGAAAATATCTTCTTCTTTTGGTATTAGTTTAGATTATCTTTCCTGTATATACCTAAGTTTGCCTGCACATTTATATTTTTTGTGTCTTAACAAATATAAATAAATATTGTAAAATATATTTATATTTTTAATGGCAAACAAGGAGTTCCAGTTTCTGAACAATATATGCACAGACGGCAAACCAACGCGAGCCAAGTGCGTTGTAGAGAAAAGCTGTAACCAAGATAATGAAGTAAAACCAGTAACTAACAAATAATGATTGTGCGCATGTCTGGGCAGGGCTTACTCTACATACTGTTCCTGTTTGTCAGGCATGATTAAATGTTTGTTTTGTTTACCTATTGTACAGCATTGCAGAATATGTGGTCACTATATTTATGTATTTATTTATAAAATATTTTACCAGGATAGATACATTGAGATTTCGCTCATTTTCAAGTAGGTCCTGGGCCCACAAAACATTGCATTGTTACAATAGGATACAATGTTACACAAATACAATATACAAACTATAAATATATATACACATACACATATATATATAAATTTAATACACAACAGATAATAAATAGATTTAACCATGAAAGGTGCATTCTGTGCTGAGGTATATTGCCATAGATCTCTTAAAAGGTTTTAGATTGAATGAAGATTTGACTGTGTTCCTGAGGTTATTCCATAATTGCGGTGCTATGTAGGAAAAGGAGGATCGAGCCACTTTATTTTTGTATTGCGGTATGCTAAATATCGTGCTAGTACTGGATCGGAGATTATAGGTGGTGGGAAGAGCCGGGGAGAGCATTCTACTCAGGTAGGGTGGGAGCTTCCCAGAAATGCTCTCTGGAAAGATGAAAAGTGCGTTGGGATTCCAGGATTCCAGCGATTGCCAGTTTAACATGTCACGTGGTGGGTAAAGTAATTACATTCTAGTACAAAGCGGCAGAATGAATTAAATAACGTATTAAGTTAATTAAGGTGGGTTTGTGGTGCGGGTGCAATCAATGACCGGCATTAGCATTTGTTTCCTTACTGTAGGGCTTAGGCAGGAATTGTTTCTGTACTGGGCACCTTTTGTTATCCGCTATCCACTTTTCTACCTCTGCGAATTGGTTTTGGAGCACAGCCTCAAGCTGCGGTAGATTGGATTTACTAGCGTAGATTACAGTTTTGTCTGCATACATGTGTACAGTTGAGGATTTGCAGACGTTAGGCAGATCATTTATAAATAATGTGAAAAGCAGGGGGCCGAGTTTGGAGCCTTGGGGAACACCACACGTGAATGGAAGAGGGAGGGAAGCGCTATCTGAAATGGCCACATATTGCAATCAGTCTGAAACATATGATCGAAACCAGGTTAGCGGACGATCACCAATGCCTGAGTTTTTAGGTTTTTGCAAAAGAATGCCATGGTCTACTGTGTCAAAGGCCTTTGCAAAATCAAAGAAAACAGCTCCAGTTAAGTCTTCTTGTTCCATGCCAATTTGGATGTCATTGCAAACTTTTAAGAGGGCAGTTGAAGTTGAGTGATTTACCTGATTGATCAGGGGTCAGATAATTTGATTGTTGATAATATTCACATAGTTGCGTGTGGATGCATTTTTATAAGATTTTTGACAATACTGGGAGCACTGATATCGGGTGATCGTTTAAAAAGGATTCAAGTAGATTACATTTTTTGAAAGACCTGGTGATTATATTTTTGGGATGGGATTTCGTAGCCTTTATTTTGTGCACACAGTACACTAGACAGTGGTCACTGAAACTGTTAAGGAGAATGCCCGACTCCTGGATTCTGTCAGGACAACTGGAGAGAATCCAAACTAGCAAGGTATGGTTCTGGCATTTAATATTAATGCGAGTTGGGGAGGAAATTAATTGTGTTAGCTGCAAAGTCTTAAACTGCGTACATGATCTATTATTTTTAGAGTTCAAAAGTGCAGTAAGTAACAAGAGGTAGAGAAATCACATTTAAAAGAGCTATGGCCAGCTCTGGTGTGAAGAGCATGCAGCGGTATAATCCCCGCTTATGGGATGTGGGAAGATGTGTCCGTCAGCACCATCTGGTAATCCAAAACTCCAAAGGGAAGATAAAAGGCAACAATAGTGCTCTCAATAGTGATAAAATAGATTATAGAAGAGTGATAAGAGAAATACTCACAAGTGTAGAGCAGAAACACTGCTCTATTGATATAGTGTTGGTGTATGATCCCCACCTCAGATTTACTTGGAGTAACAGTGTAGGGCAGGCTTACTTCTCGATGGTATCAGCTCTGGTGGTATAATCTCTACCTCGGATTTCTTTTGATTAGTAGTAAAAATCTAAGTAGCAAAGGAAATATATTATCAAATATATTTTAAAATGGTAAATAAAATTTCAAGAAAATTGGCACAAACCAGGTCTATTTGTCCAAAATAATTCCTTTATTCAGTAGTAAAAGTAAATATAAAACGTTTCGCTGATGTGGGATAAAAACATACAACCATAATAACAATGCCTACTCCTCTCTTTGCTCTGTCATTTCTAAAACATGAATGACCCTGTATTGCAATGCCATAAGGAATGTCACTGTAAACAAGGAGCTAAAGACCAATTAATATATGGATATCTATAGAGATCTTTGGATAAAATACTATGCTGAACAGTGATGACTGTACCATGTGACTAAAACTGGTTTTGAATGATAAAATCATTTGCATTAAAATAGATAAAATATTCATAGTTCTATTATAACCCTCAACACACACCTGGCACCTTCCAAGTGATAAGTAGTCAAACCATTTGCAAATTCTTTGACAACTTACCTGTGGTCTGTTGGGCACTGGTCACCTCTAACCCTGAAAGCTCCTCCAAGGAGCTTTTGTTAGATCCTGTGAGCTAAATTATACAGTCCAGGGCACGCTAATTGAAAGCCAGCGAGCTGTTAAAACATTTGCAAACCTTTTGATTACTTATAATTATATTTGGAGGGTACCAGAGCATACCAGGCACCATAATGACTACAGTGATCTGTACTAGTTATAGTACTTGTAGTGCCCCTTTAATACATTGGAGGACAAAATGTTGAATTCAAACAAAATAAAATCATCTAAAATCAACAACAGTTAAACAACATAATTATTTACTAAAATGAGAATTAAGGTGAAATCAGAGTGACTTTCAAATTTCAGGGCAAATTAGTTAATTCGAAAAAAATCTCCAAGTCAGTTATCCTTCCAGTTCAGCTATTTTGGGATAAAATTTAAAATTCACTTGGAATTCACATTAAATTCCATACAACACTCACGTTAGTAAATAACATTTACAGTTTTTAGGAATGTGATGGTTTCACTATCGTCGCAAACTCAGAATGTGAACCATTTGTCATGCGCAGCACAGCCATGAATTTTATATTGTGTCATTGGATTTTAGAGATAAATGTCAGGCAATCAGATAAAAAGGGGGTCATGAATCAATACCTAAACATAAAACCAGAGAAATTACAAAATGCTCTGTTTTTATGTGAGGTAGAAAAGGAGACCATTCTTCAGAGCAAAATCAAAAGACTGGCTAACTCGGGTTATAACAAATGGCACCGAATAAAAAATGCTGTAATCATAATGGGCAAAAAGTTGAAGCCAATACATCTGACTAGCTATTCATAAAAAGTTGTCTTTCCCAAATTATATCTAAAGGGAAATCATGTGTGGCAATTGTTACATAACGTATAATAATAAAGCTATAGAAATAATCATAGCAGTGAATTTTTAAATACCTTGTATTCATAAATATTGCATTCCAGCACCCATTACTCCTACCTACATATTACTTATCTATCATATAAGAGAACGCAGACACACAGAATTAAAGAAAGACAGAATTTCTACCTGTAACTCTTGGACGGATGAATTCAAATGAACTGCAACATTGACCAAATGCCAGATGTACTTACACGTACAAACAGCAATAACACAGTAGTGTGTTATGGAGATAAGAACCCTTCTTTCCTGGAATTCCTTATCTTAACGATTATAATACAAGGAAAATGCTAGTTACTACTGATGAAATATGATAAAAATATAGTTTCTCGTGTGACTGAAACACACCATGCACACCGTTATACAGACCTACTGTTATTATAAACATAACATATATGAAGTCTTGTATCCTACTTATTACAAGGGAGTAAGAGTACAGATGAGTCTAGTTTAACATAAATGCTGGAAACGACGATAATATCATTTATATTCCTAGTGAATTGGAAAGTTTGGTCAAAATATCCAAACTGGAAAACTTTAAAAATTCACTTGGAATTCACTGCAAATATGTTTTAGAAAAAAAGCCATACTGCCCTATCATTGTAGAACAAAACCATCCAACAGTGAATGAGTATTTTTTCGTAGTTTCATTAGCATCAATGTTGGCGGTTTCTTTTGTTGGTAAATGTGGTGTTATTGAGCTGGATACATCGTTTTCCTGGGTGGTTATATATGGTGAGTGATAGGTGAGGCTACATGCATGTTTGCAGTCATTGAGCTGTTAAATGTGCAAGTTGTAAATGAAATGCGTTGGTGTTTAAAAGCCGAGATATGTAATTCGTTGGTATGTATATTGTGGTGTTTTTTTTTCTTTTGCTGGTGTTGTGAGGGTTACATTGATTGGAGATGCTAGATTGTGGGCACACATTAGAATCTTATACTCTTGATTTAAAAAAACAACTTGTGTTTCCATACACTTTCTGAATCCTACATAAGATTTACAAGAAGAATCATATTGTGTAAGGGACTCTACATTTGACTAGAGCTACATGTTTTGTTTTGTTGCTTATACAAACACCTCTACTATGCCGACTAGTAAATCACAATGTGCCAACACTTTGCCAGACTTTTTTTTGAAGACTCCAGCTAGCAAATTATGCCACTTGTGATATAACATGACATGATATATAATGGCCTTTTTAAACCAAATGAAAATGTATTACACCAGCTTTGTCTTGGGTATATATGTATGCTTCTTACATATTATCTATCTATCCATCTATCTATCTATCTATCTATTTTTCTGTGTTCTGGTTTTCCCCCCTTTTTTTTGTGCTGCTGCTTGATTGATTGGGGGAGTGTTCATTGTTTGCACCTGTGTGGGATTTGTATCCCCATAAAGGCACACCCCTAACTCACTGAGCTTGCTCACATTACTTGAAAGCAGCCTCTATTAAGTAGACTCTTTCAAGTAGGAGTTAGAAAACCAGGAGTTTAACCCCTTAAGGACCGAGGACGGTTCAGGACCGTCATCGGCATTTTTGCGTTGCAGACCGATGACGGTCCTGAACCGTCCTAACGGTCAGAGCTACTTACCTGATCGCCGTCGTTCCCCCGGCGGCGATCATCGTGGCTCCGGTTGTGGGGAGACTGCCTGCAGCCCAGACAGTCTCCCCACGGCAGATTAGGACCCCTGGGGCCATGTGATCGCTTAACACAGCGATCACATGGTCACAATAGGTGTCCATGTGTCTGCCTGCCGGGGGACTGTCTGTGCTGACAGGCAGTCTCCCTGCTAGTGTAAAATCATTAAAAAAAATAAAGTTAGTGTTAATAAAAAAAATAAAAATAATTATATATGTGTATATATGATATATAGACATATATTACACCTATATAATATATGTCTATATATCATATATATATAATGTCATACTAAGTGTATTTTTATATTAATATGTACTTATATTAATATAAAAATACACTTATAATTAAATTACACACGTATATATATAATATATATAATAACTATATATATTGTATATATATATTATTATAAAATATAAATAATAAGTAATTTAAATTAAATAATTTTTTTAAATAATAATAAAAATTTAAAAAAAAATTATATATCTATATGAAATTTTATTCTAACTGTATTTTAAAATTAATATATATATATTTATATCAAAATACATTTAGAATGAATTTGTATATATATCTATGTATATAAAAATAAATAAAAATAATAAGAAATATACATACGTCCATATACAAAATTACATAAATAATTATATAAATATACACGTAGACTTCAAATATATAAATATGCATATATATTTAAATTCTACGTGCGTATTTATGTAATATTTTTACATAATTCAGTAATTTTATTGATTGCAATTTGAGGGACCTGCCTGCCAACCCAGGCCGAAATTCCAGAGAATTTAATTTGCTAGCACTGTATTTTACCCTGTAACGTTCTACGACACCCTAAAACCTGTACATGGGGGGTACTGTTTTACTCGGGAGACTTCGCTGAACACAAATATTAGTGATTCAAAACAGTAAAACATATCACAGCGATGATATTGTCAGTAAAAGTTACTTATTTTGCATTTTTCACACACAAACAGCACTTTTACTGATGATATAATTGTTGTGATACGTTTTCCAGTTTTTAAACACTAATATTTGTGTTCAGCGATGTCTCCCGAGTAAAACAGTACCCCCCATGTACAGGTTTTATAGCATTTTTGAAAGTTACAAGGTCAAATATATGGGTCAAATATTTTACATTGAAAATGGCCAGGTTGGTTACGTTGCCTTTGAGAGCGTATGGTAGCCCAGGAATGAGAATTACCCCCATGATGGCATACCATTTGCAAAAGAAGACAACCCAAGGTATTGCAAATGGGGTATGTCCAGTCTTTTTTAGTAACCACTTAGTCACAAACACTGGCCAAAATTAGCGTTCAATTTCGTTTTTTACTTTTTTCACACACAAACAAATATGAATGCTAACTTTGGCCAGTGTTTTCAACTAAGTGGCTACTAAAAAAGACTGGACATACCCCATATTGAATACCCTGGGTTGTCTACTTTAAAAAAAATATGTACATGTGGGGTGTTATTCAGAGATTTATGACAGATAATAGTGTTACAATGTCACTATTGATAAATTTGAAAAATGTATGTTTTGAAACCGCAATATCCTACTTGTACCTATAGCCCTATAACATGCAAAAAAAAAGCAAAAAAGCACGTAAACACTAGGTATTTTTAAACTCAGGACAAAATTTGGAATCTATTTAGCAGTTTTTTTCATTCGCTTTTGTAGATGAGTAAAAGATTTTTCAAGTAAAAGTCAAAAAACATGTATTTTTTTCAATTTTTCATCAGATTTTTGTATTTTTTTTAAATTAAAATACATGAGATTATATAAATAATGGTATGTAAAGAAAGCCCCTTTTGTCCTGAAAAAAACAATATATAATTTGTATGGGAACAGTAAATGAGAAAGCGGAAAATTACAGCCAAACACAAACACCACAAAAGTGTAAAAATATGCCTGGTCGCAAATGTACAACATCGCAAAAACAGTCCAGTCCTTAAGGGGTTAAACTAACAAGGGGTTCAAACTATCAAGGTAATTGTTTTTATTTACTGTTTAAAGGGGAAATGAGTGTTAGCAAGATTGCTGGTTTAACTCAATGCACATCTTGTTGCATGTATGGATGCCTGGATGTACCCGTCCAGGGTCCATACCTCTGTGATGGTTGTGTGCGAGTGGCTTCTCTGGAAGCTCAGATTGGAGATCTCGAGAAGCAAATCGCAACATTGAGGGAGATTGACAATCTTGAGAGGAGTCTACTGCTCACTGAGCAGAGTTTAGTGGGGACAGGTAGTGGAGAGGGAGGAGATAAGACAGATGGGGAACAGGCATGTAGCTGGGTGACAGTGGGGCGAGGAAGCAGGGGGGGAGGGAAGAGGAAAGGGCTAGCTAGTCCTAATTTGGTGCAACCTAGCAGATTTGCCCGTTTAAGGGAAGATGTTGGGGCATCAGCTCAGGAGTAGCTGTATTAGAGGAAGCTGTTACTTCTAACAGCTGAGCTAACAGCCCCCCTAGTACGGGTGGGGATCAAAATGTAAGGAAGGCAAGACAGGTTGTGGTGGTAGGGGACTCTATCATTAGGAGAGCAGATAGGGCAATCTGCCACTCTGATCGGCTCAACCGGACAGTTTGCTGTCTCCCGGGTGCTCGGGTCCGGCATGTTGCTGACAGAGTGGATGGATTATTGGGAGGGGCTGGGGATGACCCAGCGGTCATGGTCCATGTTGGTACCAATGACAAAGTAAGAGGAAGATGGAAGGTCCTAAAGAATGATTTCAGGGAATTAGGTAGCAAACTTAAGAAAAGGACCTCCAAGGTGGTATTCTCTGAGATATTACCTGTGCCACGCGCTACAGTGGAAAGGCAGCGGGTGATTAGAGAGGTCAATGCGTGGCTTAAGTCTTGGTGCAGGAAGGAGGGTTTTGGGTTTTTAGAGCACTGGGCCGACTTTGCGATTGGGTACAACCTTTATAGTGGTAATGGATTGCACCTAAACGGGAGAGGGTCTGCATTGCTGGGGGATAGGATGGCTGGAAGGTTGGAGGAGATTTTAAACTAGTAGTAGGGGGGGAGGGTCATAGCAATCTACAAAATAGAGATAGGACAGAAAGGAGATGGGCTTTAGCACAGTATAAGGGGGGTGGAAACGGGGGGAGGGGCAAGCTCAGAACAGAGAAGCTGTGTAATGTTGAAAATTCACAAAATATACAAGTGACGCGTAATATTAAATGTATGCTTACTAATGCAAGGAGCCTAAATAACAAAATGGGGGAACTAGAGGCATTAGCATACACTAAACAATATGATATAATAGGCATAACTGAAACATGGTGGGATGAGACACATGACTGGGCAGCTAACTTAAATGGGTACATGTTATTTAGGAAGGATAGGAAAAACAAGAAGGGTGGTGGGGTATGTTTGTATGTCAAACATGATTTAAAGCCAAATGTTAAGCAAATGGAATGCGAGGAGGATAATGTGGAAGCTTTATGGGTAAATATCTGCTTGGGGGAAAAGAAGGGAAACCAACTATTGGTTGGGATATGTTATAAACCACCTAATGTTAATATTGACGAGGAACAACAGCTGTTTGAGCAAATTGAGAAAGCTGCAAATCTGGGTAACACTTTAATTATTGGAGATTTTAATTACCCGGATATAAATTGGGACAGAGGGACTAGTGCCTCAGCAAAGGGAATTAGGTTTTTAAACTTGTTAAATGACACCTTCATGTCACAACTTGTACAAGCACCAACTAGAATGGATGCTTGTCTGGACCTGGTTTTAACAAACAACGTTGATCTTTTGACCAACATTCAAGTAGGTGAGCACTTGGGAAATAGTGATCACAATATAGTGTCCTTTGAAATAAACTCAAAAAAACAAAAGCACATGGGGAATACTAAAACATATAATTTTAAAAAGGCCAATTTCAATAAGTTAAGGGAAGCTTTACAATATATTGACTGGCATAAACTCTTTAGTGAAAAGAACACTGAGGATAAATGGATCATCTTCCAACAAATATTACAAAGGTACATTTCTCAGTATGTACCATTGGGAAATAAATATAAAAGAAACAAATTAAAACCAACATGGCTTAGTAGAGAAGTAAAACAAGAGATTACAACTAAGAGAAAGGCATTTAAAGCATTTAAATCGGACAAATCAGATGCATCTTATAAAAGATATAAGGATGCAAATAATGCGTGCAAAAAGGCAATTAGACTTGCTAAACTTCAAAATGAAATAATGATAGCTGAAGAGAGCAAAACCAACCCCAAAGCATTTTTTAAGTACATAAATTCTAAAAAAACCAAAATGAAAGTGTAGGTACACTAAAAACTGAAACGGGGGTGTTAATTAATGAAGACCAGGAAAAGGCAGGAATTTTAAATAACTTTTTCTCCTCCGTATATATTAAGGAAGAACCCATGGCAATAGATGTGCAAATAATTGCTACTAAAAACTTAACTCAAGACAAGGTGCTGCAGCAACTAAAGAAAGTTAATATAAACAAAGCTCCAGGGCCTGACGGTATCCATCCACGTGTACTTAAGGAACTAAGTGCAGAAATAAGTGAACCTCTGTTTTTAATCTTTCAAGATTCTTTTCTTTCAGGAAGTGTTCCGGAGGATTGGAAGAAGGCAGATGTGGTTCCTATATTCAAAAAGGGTTCAAAATCCTTGCCTGGAAATTATAGACCTGTGAGCTTAACTTCTGTGGCTGGTAAAATATTTGAAAGGTTATTAAGGGATAATATTCAAGAATTCCTTGAGAAGAACATGGTTATCAGCAAAAATCAGCATGGTTTTATGAAGCACAGGTCATGTCAAACTAACTTGATTGCGTTCTACGAAGAAGTAAGTAGAAGTATAGATCAGGGTGTTGCCGTGGATGTGATCTTTTTGGATTTTGCCAAGGCATTTGATACAGTTCCACACAATAGATTAGTGTTCAAACTCAAGGAAATCGGTCTAGATGAAAATGCTTGTTCTTGGGTAGAACATTGGCTTAAAAACAGAGTACAAAGAGCTGTCATTAATGGTAAATTTTCAAGCTGGACAGAGGTGGCAAGTGGTGTCCCTCAGGGGTCTGTTCTGGGACCCCTTCTATTTAACATGTTTATAAATGATCTTGAAGACCGCATTGAAAGTCATGTTTCAGTGTTTGCAGATGACACAAAACTTTGTAAAACAATACAATGTGAGCAAGATATTACTTTGCTGCAGAGGGATTTAGATAGACTGGGGACTGGGCACTCAAATGGCAGATGAAATTTAATGTTGAAAAATGCAAAGTTATGCACTTCGGCGTAAAGAATACACAAGCAACGTATACCCTTAATGGAAGCGAATTAGGGATAACAACACACGAAAAGGACTTGGGAATTGTTATAGACAACAAACTATGCAACAATGTGCAATGTCAATCAGCAGTGGCCAAGGCCAGTAAGGTATTGTCATGCATGAAAAAGGGCATTCATTCTCGGGACGAGAATATCATTTTGCCTCTTTATAAATCACTGGTAAGACCCTATATTGAATATGCTGTGCAATTTTGGGCACCTGTTCTAAAGAAGGATATTATGGCACTAGAAAAAGTGCAGAGGCGGGCTACAAAATTAATAAAAGGAATGGAACATATCAGCTATGAAGAAAGGTTAACAAATTTAAACCTATTTAGTTTAGAAAAACGTCGCCTGAGAGGGGATATGATAACATTATACAAATATATTCGGGGCCAATACAAACCATTGTGTGGAAATCTATTCACAAACCGGACTTTACATAGGACACGAGGCCATGCGTTTAGACTGGAAGAAAGAAGATTTCGCCTAAGGCAAAGGAAAGGTTTTTTTACTGTAAGAACAATCAGGATGTGGAATTCTCTGCCTGAGGAAGTGGTTTTATCAGAGTCCATACAGATGTTCAAACGGCTACTAGATGCATACTTGCAAGAACAGAATATTCAAGGATATAATCTTTCAATGTAGGGTAATAACTGCTTGATCCAAGGATAAATATGACTGCCATTCTGGGGTCAAGAAGGAATTTTTTTCCTAGCTTGTTGCAAAATTGTGCTTCAAACTGGGTTTTTTTGCCTTCTTTTGGATCAACAGCAAAAAACAAATGTGAGGAAGGCTGAGCTTGATGGACGCAAGTCTCTTTTCAGCTATGTAACTATGTAACTATATGTAATACCCATACAGGGCCAGATTTCCCTTAGGCATTGTAGGCAGCTGCCTTCAGGTGCCCGTTTACTTGTAAAAGTTTTGCTTTTCTTTTATACATATTTTGATAAACCTTTTGACACATCAATTCACTAGAACCTGGCATTAATTAAATGCCAAAAAATGCTATGCATCAACTGGCGTTACTTTGCTGTGATGCCAAAGTCAGGAGCTCAAGCATCCATAGCAATCTCCTCAATAAATTGCCCTGCCTTATCCCCTCACAATAAAATTCAATAGTGGTCGGACGAGGCTATTCTTATTAAAAGGGGTTACATTCATGGGGCCTGTAGACTAGCCAGGTCCTAGCCTCCATATATATTTATTTCCATCATGCAGCTCATTTGGTGGAGAAAGAGAAAAGACCACTTGCAGGTTCTCTCCTGGTGTTATTGGGATCCTGGGGTACCTCACGTTTTAATTTTTTCTTTTTTTTTAGTGAGACGATTAACTCTCTGTGTTGTTATTATTACTCACAGACCATAACCTGTATTTTTATTTTATTATCTATTTGTAGCTGCAAACAGCAAAGAAATGTCACTGCAGGTGTTATTTACAAGCATACTCCTGTTATCTTTCGAGTACGTTGTCAGCTCTTATGCTAGGAAAAGAAATCTTCGCTCTGAGCTTGTGAGCTCAGTTATGTTCAAAAGCCAGCTTGCAATATTGAATGTTAACAAATCTTTAATTTGACTTCTGAGCATTGCTAATTTTTAGAGCAGCGTGGCCATTTACGTTGCTTAGTGAACTGATTAATTTTGCTACATGGTAATTTTGTTTTTATTTATGAACAGAGAGATATATACTTTATGACTCTCGTATACCATGGTAATTTTATATGGTTTTATTTATGAACGGAGAGATATATACTTTATGACGCTCGTATACCATGGTAATTTTATATGGTTTTATTTATGAACGGAGAGATACTTTATGACTCGTATACCATGGTAATTTTATATGGTTTTATTTATGAACAGAGAGATATGTACTTTATGACTTTTGTGCACCAACCAAATCATAAAGCAAACAAAAAAAAATTAATTTTTGGGAGTTTAGGGACACCTCAGAATTCTGTGAAAACAGGTGTCTGATATGTGTATCCAACCCCATAAACTTATTATAATTGGGCTATAGCAGTGGCGATTTGTCAGTTCTTATTGCTCTTACATCTCTTCATCACCATCTTGGGACAGACTTACACATACATACTTTGTCACTGGGTACATCTTGTTTACCCATATTTTATAATAATTTTTCTTATCAGACATAAAATGCTTCTGTAAGGTTTCCAGAAAGAAAATGAACAACCTATATTTTTACTCACCTTTCACTGGGATGCATTGTTTATTTTTTTAATCAGGAGGCAAAACTATATGTATAACAAACATCACTATTTAAATAAATAGTTGGTCTTTTGCTAGACTACATTTAAGCTATAGCTATACCCTTTTTGTCTTCATACAGATGTTACAGACATGGAGAAGACCTTCTTATCTCTATGCAATACAGATCTAACCCCTGTCACCCAATGCATGGAGCATGCTCTGATAGCTGTAAATCCTTGGACACGCTACTCTGCAGGATGGGACGCCAAGCTCTTCTTTATTCCAATCTCATACCTGCCCACCTTCCTATCCGACTATCTACTAACACACTCTGTTCCAAAGCCAGCTAAGAACACATCTCATTAACTTAAGCAATTGTAACATGTAATTATGCATTCCAGAACAGGTTTTCTAGATTGCACTTCACATCCTGGCTGGTACTAGTATTAAAATTAAAATCATCAGATGGTAGATACAATTTTCTGTGCAAAAATCTCAATATCTGCAATAATACACTACATGCAACGCAAGCAATGACCTTCTCATTTTTATTATTAATATTTGGTATTGTAGCATTGATATCTATCTATGTATGTATCTATCTATCTATCTATCTATCTATCTAATACAGCAGAGAGAATAATGAACATGTATTGATACAAAAGGAACAGAAGACCCTGTCAGGGAGCATACAAAGCTCATATATCAAGGGCTGACAATTAATCTGAGGTCTAACGAGGTTATATCCACTGGCTGAGTTATACTACAATTTTCTGTATGTTTTTTTTTTTTTTAATTGCATTAAATCTAACTAATATCCTTTACAGTACTATCATTAATAATTCATTATGAATATTTAATGCATACTATTTTTTCATTTCTCATTTAATTTCCATTTTTTTATTTCATTTTCTTTTTCATTTCCCTATTTGTATTTTATTTTGACCTTCTATTTTGTCTATGGAATGGTTATCCTATTACTGCAGGCTGCAATTAACCTGGTCCAAATAAAATATGATATTTTAAACAATAAACTAATGAGTTGCAGAGTATTATAAGACAAGAAGAAAAGGGAAACATTATATTTAATATGAATGTCTAAAGTGCATGGTTCTCAGGCAAAATTGACTGAAACAGGACATTTTGAAGCTGGTAGACCTGGATCATATTAGCATAAATAGTTTTATCTGCCATTTGTATCGGTGCACATATGGATCAGGTATGACAGTGCTGAGAGGGAAACAACACAATCAAATGAGTCAGTGGGTAAAAGTTGCATTTAATGAATGTAGAGAATCTTGGAATTAAAGGAACACTATTGTGTCAGGAATGCAAACATGTATTTCTTACACTAAGTGCTGCTGTGGGTTTTTAGGTCTCTGGCCCCCTTGTCAGAGCTGTGAAAATGTGATTTTACTCACTTTTTTCCCCACGCCGTGCTGGTCTCACTTCAGCTAGCCCTGTCTGTCTCCGCCTCCTTGGTTGAGTTTATGCGTCTTGATTATCTCACCCAAAACAGATCTAACCCCTGTCACCTAATGCATGGAGCATGCTCTGATAGCTGTAAATCCTTGGACATGCTACTCTGCAGGATGAGACGACAAGCTCTTCTTTATTCCAGTCTCATAGGAAAGCATTGGGAGGCATTGAGCATGCGCGGCAAAATGCTGCGTTGCACCGATCGACATCTCCGCATATAGATGCATTGAATAAATGCATTTCTATGGGGAATGTTCAGCCCCTTCATGCAGAGCGTGGAGACGCTGAATGCCAGTGCTGCACACTGTGCAGCATTGGACTAGGAAGCACCTCTAGTGGCCATCTGAGTGACCGCCACTAGAGATGCTCCCAGGCACCAATGACAAGGCAGTGTTTACATTGAAAAGCCTGCAGGGACAGGATATACACACTACAATAGCTGTAGTTGTTCTGGTGACTGTAGTGTCCCTTTAACTTTGCAAAGTGAGTATATTTTCACAACCCATGAGCATGATAAATGATGCAAGAACACTTATCTTTCCATATATCACTGGTTCATAGAGGGCATGCCTGCACTTGTGTTTGAATGTGCTTCCAATACCTTGGCTCAGAATGGGTAGTAAATCATGGTTTGTAGGACTCATGATCAGATTGTTCCATTAAATGCATCCTGAGTTTTTAAAGAGACTGCCAAAGCTGGTGTGTTGATTTCAAAAGGTGGAAAAAAAAGCTTTTGGCTAGAAGTCAATAGTTTGTGTGTACAATGGACCCTCTATAGTCATAGCTTACCATGCTTTAAAAAAAAAAAAAAAAGGTGTATATGAAAGAGTAAATCTGTCATTGCTGCTGTCCCTTCAAACTTGCAAAAATGACTTTTAGGGTTGAAATGTTGCTGATTTCTTTTCATTTTGGAATAGAATCCATCACAAAAACCGAGTTCCCGCTTCCTTTCTCATAATTAGTCATTAGCATTTTCTGACTTACATTGGGATATTGCCAAATGACTTGGTATTTTGTTGAAGAGATATACCAAAGAAATTCTAGCTGTTTAATCCTGTCATGGAACAATGCGTAATCTATAACCAATAGTATGCCTTCATTCAAAATTAGCCGCATACCAAAAATCTCGTCTTCACCAACTGCAATAAATATGGTTAATAAAAACCTGATGCCCCTAGTGCTCTCATTTGTTTAGTGTTGTACACAAGGGCATGTTTAGGCCTGGTTGTTGGTTCTAGGTATGGCCTCACTAGGTCACTAGGTCACTAGGTCAACAGTCAAATGAACCCTTCCAGTGCTGCAGCAGATGGCAGTGTGTTACACTGCCCCCTTCTGTGACCTACTTGCTATTGCAATTCTGAGAGAGGCCTACACAGTTACAGAGTAAATATCTTCTTAAACAGTTTGACTACTTACCCTGGGAGGGCACCACAGCACTCCTAGCACCATAACCACTACATAGTACTGTAGTGGTTATTGTCCCTGAATTGTTTCTTTAAATAATCTACCAGTGCCCCTTCCAAGATTAGGTTCTGGATTTGCCCTTGACAGGGAAATATTTCTGCTGAACAGGGGCCCAGTAAATGCCGCAGCACTGTACATGTATTCAACCCAGAATTTTTTTGACTTAGGGAGCTTTAGAAAAATATTGAAATATTAAAGGAACACTATAGGGTCAGGAACACAAACATGTATTCCTGACCATATAGTGTAAAAAAAACACCATCTAGCCCCCCTGGGCCCCTCATGCCTCCCTAAATATAGCAAAATCTTACTTGTATTCAAGCCTGAAGCTGTAACTCTGTATGCTGTTTGCCTCAGAAAAGCAAGCTGTCTGCTGACATCATCAGAAGTGGTGCCTAATCCAATCACAATGCTTCTCGATAGGATTGGCTGAGACTGACAAGGAGGCAGATCAGGGGCAGAGCCAACATAATTCAAACACAGCCCTGGCCAATCAGCATCTCCTCATAAAGATCAATTGAATCAATGAATGAGGAAAGTTCAGAGTCTGCATGCAGAGGGAGGAGACACTGAATGCTCGGATGCATTTTAGGCAGTCATGACCCAGGAAGGATCTCTAACAGCTATCTGAGGAGTGACCAGTGAAGTTATCACTAGGCTGTAATGTAAACACCGCATTTTCTCTGAAAAGACAGTTTTTACAGCAAAAAGCCTGAAGGGAATGATTCTACTCACCAGAACAAATTCAATAAGCTGTAGTTGTTCTGGTGACTATAGTGTCCCTTTAAGGGCGCCTTGATCCTAAAAAGTTTGTGAACCACTGAGTTAATATTTAAAATATTTTTGATCAAGGAAGTCTCATAGAATATGATGGGCTTCACATTGCCCTTCTATTCATGGAGACCTCAGTGTCAAGCTATGTTTTTATCTTGGGTTGTTGTGTCAGTAGTGGTGTAACCCATTAAATTGATCTTTTGCATCATGGGGATCAGAAATTCCTCTGAAAGATGACTGCAGTTCCTTTCTAAAACCCTTTATGTAATGTGTCAACTGTAATGTAAATTTGGGAATTCCCCCAACAGAATTATGTGTGAATTAGGAAGGTCAGAATATTACACCAGCTGATGACTGCTGTAAAAGACATGCACTGTGAATGTGTGTCAGTCAAATTTATTTTCTACTGGCTCATAAAACTCACACAGGTCCATACATTAATAAATGGTAGAAACTGCAAATTGTAGTCCAAAATATTTAAGCTGAAAAAATAGCTGAGCCTGGTGAAATCTTTAATTTTGGCTATTTTAGGCTAAATAAATAAACCCATCAGTGCTCACTCACAAGGACAGACACTGAGAGACACAGATAAAAAAAACTAGAGAGAACAGACATCAAGGGACAATGAAGAGAAACAAGCAGACTGATGAGAACAACAAATGACAGACTGGAAAAAGCCAAAAATATACTCGCTAGAGATTCAAAAAAAAATATTGTTTGCTTATGTATTTATTTATAAAGCATTTATCTAGAAAGATTCAACTGAGACGTCTCTTGTTTTATAAGTATATTCTGTAAAGCTTGTAATTAAACAATATTACATATCAAACATTAGACATATACAATATATTTATTAATTAACCAGAAATGCAGCGGCATTTTGACTGAATACACAATGTAGATGTTTTTAGAGAATTCTGACTTGTTGCAGATGGTAATGTTTTCTGGAAGAATATACCACATTTCTGGAGCTCTGTAGAAAAAGGTTTCTGGAGTAATCTTCATTTTATAGTGAGGGATAGAAAGAAAAGTGCTGGTAGTGAAAAAAAATATCATAGTTTATGTAGACATAAGAATCTGAAAGATACTTAAAAAATAGACACAGATAGAAAGCCGAGACAATGAAAGGGCACAGACAGCTGAGAGACAGATCAGAGATATGGCCAGAAGATTGAGACAAAAGAGAGAGGCGGTTAAGATCCAGGATACTGATGCAAAGAGAGAGATACAGAACTAAAGTAGAGAGTTTGATTCAAATAGAAGAGACATGTAACAATTAACGTTATTTCCATTTAAAAATGACAGCACAGACTTTACATTTAAAAATGACAGCAGGGAGAACAAGAGAGAGGGTGAAAAAGGACATGCAGAGTAAAGTACATGGAAAGAATATTAACGTAGAAACAAAGATTCAGTGCTGCAGAATCTGTTGGCGCTTTATAAATACCAATAATAAAGAAAAATAAAGACAGGACAAATGGCTGTTGGAGATAAAGTAATAAAGAGGTGTGACTGTAAACAAGATGGTGTAAAATTAGCTAACTTGGAAAAAGAAGAGTGGAAAAGAATGGTGTGGAAAGAGAAGTGGGGAACAGACATGTGAAAAGTGATGAAAAAACAGACTGACAGAGAAAGAGAGACATAACACACGAAAGGGAGCCAACATGGACCTACGGTTTTAAAATCCATGCACTGTTAATCTTTGTAATGCACTTCATTCCCCTTCATTTTAGCATCTAATTGTTGAAATACCAAATGTTTTTGAACTCTTCCACTGTATCCGCCTGTACCACCTTTGATGGGATGGTATTCCGTGAATACAACACCCTTTCCGTGTAGAAGTACTTCCTTACTTTTTCCCATGTGTCTACTTACCCTTGAGTTTCAAAGCATACCCTCCTGTAATAGCACTTCCTCGACTGTGAAAGATATTTCCTCCCATTACTATACGGTACAGTATATAAAATTTTCCGTTTTTGTTCTCTTTTAAGCATATAATCAAGGCGTGTTTTGTTTTGGAGATGCTAGTAAAATTTTGTGATATATTTCTAATTGTAGCTTGCGATTAGCAAGCATGCTTTGCGTTGGACTAATATATATTTCCCAGCTGGAATTAATAGACAAAGAACACAAAGAATTTGGGGCAGGTGTGTTTAAGGTTTTATATATTACAAGAACAAAAATCAGTAAAGAATTTAGCAGTGCTGATTGATAGATGTGTTTTATGTTTTTTGTTGTGTACTGTATGTGGATAAGTAAATGCTTTGAATATTAAAATTTCGCAATAGAAATGTTTCATTTGTGGATTTTCTCAATTCAGGGGTACAATGTAATAGTTTGAGTGGCTATTTATTTATAAAAGTATAACACTTTCTTATTGTATATTTTAAAGATGACAAAAATATGTACTAAAAAAGATGTGAGCAATGTACCCATAGTTCCTTGCTTTGTCTATTCATAAAATATATTTTTAGTGTGACTATTTTGAACATACTCTTTTAATGGCTCTCATTTCCTCACCGTATGAGAAAACCACATGGCAATGAATCAACGATTAGCTGTTGGAAGGAAGATGATAGAGCAGCAAAGAGTTAACCAGGATAGGGAAATCATTATAATATTTACTAACAACAATATTAGTTAATTATAAGAATTGCATTGCTCTAATATCTTATGATCGATGATATGTATATATAGCAATATTATTGTGAGTGATTATATACAGCTGTGCAAAATAATAGAGAATCTCACAGAATCTCATTGAATGTTTGCAAATTTAGCTTTCTGAGATTTTGCTTTTAATAGGTCTAAATACTTCATTCTCTCTCTCTCTTGCTCACTCTCTCAAACATATGTCAGTCTGCCAGAGATTAGTGGGAGTTATGCTCCTAGGTACAGTTTTATATGCTGTTGCCATATAAGAATACAGAAACAATGTGATTCTGTCTCCCAAGCACTCTATCAGTTTATCGGAGAGGTCTGAATTAAAGAGGGCAGCTGCTAATTGCAACCATTTATAGCACCCTATCCATAACACTAACACACTAACCCTATCTGTAAATTACCCACCGTTTGCCTGTTTGCATATGTCCTTGTTTGTGTCTATAAACAGAATGTTGAAAGGGCACTGATTTTAAAGTGATACCTATCATGTAATCAAGAATATAAGTCATCATTACTATCTAAATTAATGAAAGCACATCCTACTAAAATTAAAATATAAAAATGTTGAGTTCTAGGTTTTAGAACAATAACTTTTCATGATTATATCTTGATGCATGACTCACATCAAGAAAACGTGAAAACATACATGAAAGGTGCAGTAGATCAGTAAAGACATTTAATAAATTGGTAATGATCCCAACTTTTTAAAGTTACATAAAGCAGTGTGTATTTAAAACAGTGCTTGATGTGTCGCTTTGAAGCTTATTAAGGTTGCTCCTCCCTGTCTACGTTATATTAGAATACACACAATCTTTTCAGACCTCAAAGCAGAATAGAGAGACACATATAGATATTATGCCTCTTAGATCAAAAAAAGAGAGCTGGGCCCTTTTCATCTAATGTATCTCTCACCATTTGTTTGCCTGTCAATAACTTGCTGTTTCCGATCCCCATTTTTCCCATTCTGGGAGTACTAAGAAATGACGTGCTCTTATTGCACTATGTTTTATTTTTATTTTTTTGTCAATCTCTTTTTTATTGAAATTCGAACAGTGGTTGATCCAGTACAGTGTCTAAATACAACGTCAAGAAATAACATTTGTTTTACATGGCAAGTTTGTGGCTTACAATACAAGTTCAAACAGATAAAGGAGTTACAATTCGAGGCTATGTAGCCAAACTTATAAGAAATGTGGAATGTGAACAGACCATGAGTCTATGCCGACCCCTTTCTCTGCATAACCGTGGGGCCTGTTCTTAGACTTCGCCCTAGAGTTAGCCTAGTGTATCCGTCAGATTCTTGTTGTTGTCAGGCCAGTCTCAAGCCCTTCCCGCTACGGTCTGTCATTAGGTGACCTTAAGCTGTCACGTGTATTCCTGCGTCAAGTCTTATCATGTATATAGGCAATGGTGACTGGTAGGTTGTCTGCGGTCTCGGGGGTCATCGGCATTGTTATGCCTCCCAGTTGCAGCCTGCCTGCCCGTTCCCCTTAGTTTGCGGAATCCGTGTGTTCTCAGGGGCTCGTGCGTCTGATTCGCGCGCTAGTTTGACTGTTCAGGTTTTAAAATTACATCAGGGGGTGTGGGTGCGGTCCCACCCGGGCCCGTATCTACACATCTTTCGGAAGAGGGAAAGATAAAGGGAGCGGGAGAGAGAGAGGAGCACTATGTTTTATTAGTTAGCATTTTATTTAATGTTCTGGGACTCTGTCCTTTTTTGGGAAGATATCTTTCCATTCAGTATGCCATCCTGTGAAAGAAGCTGGTGACTGTTGGAAGAGAAGGAGAAAGAGTAGGAGTTCATGTGATACAGTGATTAAGAAGCATTTGCCAGATTTTGCTATCTTCTGGTGGATTCATACAACTCAATCTAGTTATTCTAAAACACTGTTTTTGTTTTTTTATTCTCTTTTCACTGTCAAAAGGGCTCTCTACTTTAATTGAGAAGTGGAGAGGCAATACAATAAGCAATATATTGTGGGTAGTTGCTTGGGATCAGATGAATATGTGCCTGTTAAACCACTGGTGACCAACTGTAATTTTTTGGAGACCAAATTTGGAGCTGTGACTCAGGGAATAAGGACCACTGAACTAATATAATAAATAAACATAACATACAATGTGTTCCTGAGTGATGCTCCATTTTCTGTATTTTGTCCCAGAATTGGTCTTCCCACAATGCTTCCTATCAAACTTGAAAATCTAACTTGGTGAATATATATCACTTCTTGTTCTTATACCACCGTCAAAATGAGAAACAGATTAGAGATAGGGTTAGTAAAAAAAGGTCAAGTTAGGATCAGCGCTAAAGTGCCACAAAATTAAGGAGTATATATAATGTACAGGCAGCACACCTACAGAAAAGGGGGTACACTCTAATCCCCTATAGATAATTAGAGATAGAACAAAAACCAAAGGAAGGGTGCACCTTTAATATAAATATTTTGTACAAATAAAATAGTATGGTCCAAATAACTTAACACTAGTCCAGAGTAATAAAGTCCACAATGATAAGGAACATTCTTGCAGAGCAGCAGTGATACGTCACAGGTGCAGACTTGTAATTTCAGTAGAACATATGAAAAAGAAGCAGAGAAACGAAAATCCAATGGTGCAGTAAGTAAATATACTTGGATATTAAGGATTATAAGTAGGTACTACTCACAATTTCCAGAGCTACAATCCAGCTCTGGTATGAAATGCGTGAAGTGGAATGATCGCCACTCAAGGATATATGGAGTATAACTCGAAATTCAATAGTCCAGCGCCGGTATGGTTCCAGCCGAAAATAAAAGGAATAAAATATATAGTGCTCACTGTTCTATCTCTAGAGATGGGTCAGGCATGCAATACACTTGGATAACTGCAATCTTTCAAGGCCTTTGCCACTGATTGAATAGATCATAATCCGGAAAACATAAAGACGAAAAAACTTGATGAATAACTGTTGAAGATAGGTGTAAGAATAGTTCCAGTTTCCAGACCACTGATCTCCTGATTGCACCATGCATGTATCAACATGGTGTCCTAGCAGTGTACTGTCTGTACTGTTAGAATCAATGCATATGGCTGGAATAGAAGAAATGCATTGGGGTTAATTAATTAAAGGTTATAATGTAGCTAAATTAAAACTCAAATGTATTACAGTTCAGTCTTTAATGATAACCTCTTGGTTTTCCAAATTGTTTCCAGCGACCAGTTGTTATTGGGGCGGTGAACTGCAACTTTCAAGTTGTTGTTGAACTACAGCCCCCATGCCTGCTAATCAAGGACAGTGGGGGCTGTAGTCTAAAATGGGCCTGTGATGGAGTATGATGCCCTTGTTCTATGTAGTCCCTTCTGTTTTTACTCTATATGTTATTTTGTGTCCACGACTAATCTTGGTCTCACATTTCTGTGTATACTATCGCATGCTTTTTTTCACTTTCTGGTTCTTGTATTACGCTGCTGTGCTCGGCGTGCTTCCTGATAATATCCATTTGTTTAAATTATGAGAAGTGAAACATAACTGGAGATGACAGTGGGGGTCCTGATTTCATTCATTATGTGATCTCTGTTAGCTCACCAAATCCAGACACAAAGCAGAAACACCCAGTCTGATACTTCCAGAAACAGTAGTGGCTTCTAAAACCAGACAATTATTTTATGTTTATTGTACTTCCACTTATGGTAGTTTCTTTGGACTTTGTTCTATTACGGGACTAGTTCAGGTCTGAGCATTCTCAATCTCTGCCATGCACAATGAGGTTACATGTGAATGTGTGATTATTAATAAATTAGTTATCTATATAATCACAAACTCTGATTTGAATTGTGGACACCATAGTCATCTCATTATTGGCAATATAAAACAAAATTATTATTATTATTATTTTATTCGGAAGCCTCTGTTAGCAGAAGTGTTTGTAGGGTTTTTGTATTTTGCTTTACACACTCATTTCAAATATCGGAGTACATTACAACTTTTCATTTGATATTCACCAATACCATAATTCCAATACTTCTACCATTATCAGTTTGGTAAAAGGGGCCCTAAACCTTATATTAAACTGACAAGTTTAAGAAATAACAATACTTTCAAAGAATATCTGTTGACACTTTAACTGAAACATAGGAATTCACCTGAAAACACTTTTCTAATAGTTAAACCATAGCCCAAAATAAATAAGTGTTTTATGCATGAGCAAGACAAATGCCAGAAACAAACGCCCCCAACTTGATTTGTTATAAACGCTGATTCCTTGTTAAACAATTAGACCAATTAATTGACCTATTAGCACTGTATTACAATATCACATAGTAAAACTGATAACATAACAAATACACATGCTTTTGTGTAGACATGTAGAAAGCAAAAAAAAAAATCACTTTTTTACTTTTGTTTCATTTTCTTCTGTTATGAGCTGATAGCTTTCATAATTTTGCATTACTTTTATTATTTTATTTAAAATGGCATTTGTGACCTTTGACCCCTTAAGGACCAAACTTCTGGAATAAAAGGGAATCATGACATGTCACACATGTCATTTGTCCTTAAGGGGTTAAGCCAGTACATGTACCCACAGATCACTGAAGATGTGAGTGCAATGTTTCAGTCCCCGATCTGGTTCTTGGTTATTTATTTGTTTCTGCTTTTTTTCTGCCTTAAAATAGATATTAAGAAACCACACAGAAAAAAAATGCTACTTGAAATTTTACCAGGCTACCAAAATCCACCAATGGTGATTCAGTTAGACTGTATGAGGAGAGCTGGCAGCCTCAGGCCTGGGGGGAAAATCCAGTTAAGTGGCCCATTGCACCACCGAATCAGCTCACCATTGCACCACCGAATCAGCTAACCATGCCCACCTTTACCTGGTTTTATAACGGATATTGATGTTATGCTAATCAGTAGCTCTTTGCCAAACCCACTCCTTCGCGGCTTCGACTTTCAATGTTGTCAGAGCGCAGGCTGAGAATCTCTGAGCCTGTGCTCTGACTCACTAACTAAGCACCAGAACCACAAGGGAGAGGATATGATCTGACTGCACCTACTGCTGGTGTGCACCAATGGACCACCAGGGAATCGTTTAAATGAAATATGCTGGTGTTCCCAACTTGTGAGCTGTGTTGGCCGCCTCTGTTGTAAAGATTGGCCCTGCTGACAGACAAGCCGGCACTCACTCTCAATAACACACACACACAAACCCTGAAAGACACACACATTCACTGACAGACAACCACTTACTTGATAGACACACTCACTGACACACTCACACAAACACTGACAGATACACACTCAATGACACACTTATTAATAGACACATACACTTACACACTCACTTACTGACAGACACACACACTCACTGACAGACACACACTTACTGACAGACACCAGTGCCATCTTAACAACGTTATGGCCCCCCAGGCAAAGCAGCGCATTGGGGCCCTACCTACACAACTCACAAGAATAAAAATGTAAATTATAGATACAATTAAGCTTATATTTATTAGTACCTTCAACAAATGCAATACATACATACAATGCATACACACAGACTGCTGAATACAGTCCATGCTCAATACATACACACGACTCCTGAATAGACACACACAACGACTGCTGAATAGACACACACACAGACTACTGAATACACACAGACTGCTGAGTACACACAGACAGACTGCTGAGTACACATAGAGAGTGCTGAACACACACTGAATACATATACACAGTCCGCTGAATACACACACAGACTGCTAAATACACATACCGAGACTGCTGAATACATACATACTGCTAAATACACACATACTGCAGTGAGGGGTGCAGTGTATGTGTTTGTGTGTACGGATGCGGTGTGGGGTGCTGTGTGTGTGTGGAGTGCTTTGTGAGTGTGGGGTGCTGTGTGTGTGTGGAGTGCTATGTGTGTGTGGTGTTCTGTGTGTGTGTTGCAGAGTTTGACAATGAACTGATGAAGAAACTGGGAACAGGTGACTCCAGTGCCCCTGATTGGTGGAATGAACGACGAGAAGACCTTCAAAAGGAATCCTGGACTTTGACATTGAGTTATGTTTTATTTTTGTTGTTACAAATTGTATTTTATTTTATTTGCTCCTGAGGAAGTCTCTATTAAGAGACGAAACGTGTAGAGCTTTGTACCACTGCTTATTCTGGTCTCCTATCCAGCTGAAACAGAGGGACATAGAGACTACCTGATGGGCATTTTGTATCTTTCACTTTTTGTAAGTGCGTTCAATTAAAGTGTCTATTTATATTTCAAGCATTACTGTACTATGTTCAGTTTTTTCCTTTTGACATGTACCCTGGGACACTGAGGACGCCTGTAGCTGAGCATTTAAAGGAACCTTGATGGGCTCTTAATATTCTGACATCTTGTGAGTGCATTATTAACACAAAGGGGCCACATTCTGATTATATAGTGTTGCCCTATGAATTTTCTCTCTGCCTTTATTCTTTAGGTGTATCTTATATTTTATATTTGCATTTTGAGGACGTTTGAGGAATCCTCTTGTTACAACCTGATACATAAGGGAAGTAATTGCCTTTATTGTGTATTTATTGCTGCACCTGGGTGGTCTACATATATATATATATATAGAGTTTGAGGGTTGCAGGTAGCAAATGTTTTTTGGTTTTTTAATACTACTATACATTAAATAAAATCTCTATGTCCCCCCCACCCTTCTTCTTACCTTTGGTGAAAGCCAGCCCCGGTGGTCCAGTTGTGAGTTCTGTACAGCCTGCAGCTCGTCTGGCTGCAGGTTGTCTACTGTCCTCCTGCGCGCAGAATGCTGTGTGCAGCATTGCAACGCTCCACACACCCGGCCTGCGGGAGGAGCAATCTGCCTTCCAGGTCGGCCTCTCCTGCAGCTCTGGGTCCTAGCCCCCTTTCTCCCCGATTGAAGGGAGATCTTCCTCAATGGCCCAAGTGGGCACACGACCAGAAAAAAGGTCTGCCTCTCCATTGGCTGGCAGGGGAGATCAAACGATCTTTCCTGTCGGCTGGGCATGCTGGTCAGCGCGGCGGGCCCCCCATCCCTTTGGGCTCCACGGGCAACTGCCGAGTGTGCCCATGCGGAAAGACGGCAGTGACAGACACACACACTCACTTCCAGACACACACACACTCACTGACAAACACAGACACACACACACACACATACTGACAGAAACACACACTCACTGATAGATACACACACACACACACTTACTGACACATACTCACTAACAGACACACATACACTTACTTTCAGACACACTTACTTTCAGACACACACTCACAAATTAAATTTTTTTTTGCTTGTTGCTCCTACCTTTAGGAGTCCTCTTGGTCCTTTCCCCGGGGTCCAGTGGCTTTTGTGATCTTCCTGCTCCTCTCTGCTCCCTTGCACTATTTAGTGAGGCGGGACCGGAATGACATCATATTCCGGCTCCCAGCATCACCAGAGAGGGCACGCGAGGGAGCAGAAAGATCATCAGCACAGTCAGCGCTCCCTCGCCGCCGTCTTCCTCCTTCCTCACCCAGCATTTGGGACAAGAAGGTGCATACTCTGCCTTGCTATGGGGCGCCCATAGGTGGCCAGCTGGCCACCTGCTGGGCTCCCTATGACAAGCCATTAGCCTTCTCTGCGGGGCGACCCCCACCTCCTGGCGCGGTGCACCCGCCCAGGATCGGCCCTGCAGCGGCCCTGCAGCGGCCCTGCAGCGGCTGTTTTTCATATGATTTAGGGCAGCCTGGGGGGCAATTGCCTCCCTGCCCCCGGCCAAGCCCGCCCCTCCGTATGGCCACATCATGTTAAGCCCATGATACAATACCTCAATATTGGTGGGTCCTACACTAATTTTAACATAGGAGATAAACACGCTAGTTTACTTTTATTGTTTTATTTGAGATGGCATTTGTGACTTTTAAGCCACAGATCACTGGAGATGTAAGTGTAATGTTTCAGCCCCCAACCTGGCTCTTGGTTCATTTGTTTCTGCCTCTTTTTGTAGTGTTAACTGTTAGAGAATTATTGGCAAGTCTACATCTAGAATTATATTTCTATTTCTTGATTTGTTTGGAAATACTGTTGGCATTCTCTCATACGCAAGCATGTTATTTCAGTCCTCAAGGCATTTCCTGATAGCACAAACACTTGCTTTGTTTCTTTAGAAGCATTTTTACCAGTTGTAGACAATGATAATCACTGCAAATCCATTGCCATCCAAGACACATCTGGACTGGAAGCATCAGATTTGTATTGGCTCAACATTAATTCTGTAACAAGAACTCAAAGGGTGCCCTTATAGAGTATAACTATGACTTGTTTCACACGTCTCTGCAGTCTCATTATGGCAATTTCTATATAAGTATCTGACCTGTTGTGAAATGCTTCTGGTAGTTATTAAGCAATCAGGTAGACTTGAACACTGGAGCTTGGCTAATGGAACATTTATCCACACCTAACTAAATAGTAGAGTCTGGACAGCATCATAAATGTAAGTAATGCTTCATGTGAGAATTTAATTTTATACAATTACATTCACCTAAATCTACTGCAGATTGCTAGTTTCATTTTTGCAGACTGGAAATATTTTGTTACTGTGCTGAGTTGCAGTTTTTGGTACAATGTCTGTTGTGCTAAAAAAAATAATATCTGTTTGGCATTTTAGTGCTTCTCTGTTTGTTTGAGTGGTTGTTCTCGACATGTGTCATTTGGAGGCAATGGGATAAATCCGAGAGAGATGACAGTTAACGTAACATGAATCCTGCGCCAGCCCTCACTTATGCAAAGTGTTTGAAGAGACAGTTATCTCATTGTGCAGGCAGAATAGGCAGCTATATATAATTTGTTTTATGTTTACCTGTTATATCTTTCCTGCGTTTTTTTCCACCTACCCAGGGGAGCACTGATCTAGCCAATCAGTGTAATATACCTAATCATCATGGAAAATAGCATTTTACATCACTGACATCACAAGATCCTTGGATGTGCACCAGCTTTGAATGCACATCATGGTCAGTATTTCTGCTAGAACCCACTTGCTGCCCCGCAGCCATAACAACCCACCGGACCACCAGGGAATAAAGCTGACCACCATGGATTATATATAGATATACAGAGGTGTGCAAAATAGATATAGGTACAGGGGTGTGCAGTAGTAGTCACAGTGGTGTATTATGGTTTTGTGCTGCCCACCGTATGACAAAACTCGAGCATGCCCCCTTACCCCCTCCCACTTCAAAAATTTTCTTCCTATTTAAAACCAACAGACTCTTTGCCTGATGGACACACACCCTCACTGACATACACTCACTGACAGATACACTGTTATTGTCACACACACTGTTTAACTAACACACACTTTCACTGAAACATTCACAGACACACACACTCACTCATTCACAGTTACATTTACTCATTCACAGTTACACACACACACTCACCGACAGACACACATACACACTCACTGACAGACACACATGTACACTCATTGTCAGACACACACTCACTCAGACATACAGAGGTGCGCAGAATATATCTGGGTATACTGAAATTTCTCTTCCTATTTAAAACCAATACACTCACTGACAGATACACTGTCATTAATGTAAAACAGGAAATGCACTCAATCTTCCAACCTTCGAACCAGGGTGCAACCAGATCCGGGTTCAGCACCAAATCTCAAATTTAATAATTCAAAAGAAAGGATTAGGGCGCTTCAAAGGTTCAATTTCAGGCAATTTTTTGTCCCCAGAATGTGCAAAGCAACGTTTCGACCAGTGTGGTCTTTATCAAGCTGACAAATGTATGTGACAAACACAATTATATAGCACACATAATTACAACAATGAATCAATAATACATCAATCAATGGAATTAACAAATGAAATACACCCACCAATCGCTGTATGGATACAAAACATGTAGGAGACTTCATAGCCAATTAAAAACATAGATACAACGAGGCACATCTGAAAAGAAAGCAATTGCTTGCCACACATACTTGATTAATTAAATACAATCAAGCATATCTGAAAAGGAAGGGGGAAGAAATGACCCACCAAATACACTTGAGATGGAACATACATGAAAAGGGCTCCAAAGTAATTTATGCTATAACAATGCACAGTGCATATGTAAAAAATAAATATTTTTTTTGGCACAAAATAAAGTCTCCCACAATATATCATCCAACAGTAATTAGTGGACAAAAATCTTTTTTTTTTTATTCTTTATTTTTGCAGTGCATTTGGAATAACATATGTGCACGGGGTACCCCAAAGGCAATCCTCATGCTTTGCAAACATCAATAACAATGGAGTATACATTGGTACTTGCACAATTTTTAGTTAGGAGATGAAGTCGTGTTTAACATAGATTAGTAGCAGGTAGTATCTGTTAATCATAGCTTATTTAGAAGCATTCACAGTCAGACATGCATAACTTTGGGTACGTAATGTTTGGCAACTATTCGCGGGTTCAAGACAGGCTAAACCAACTGCGAGGGGTTAATAAAACTGGTATAGGTTTGAGTGCTGTGGGACGAATAAAACTATGGTAAGGAGGCATAAGGAGGCATACTTTTGATTAGGTTTGTATATGGCTAGAACTTTGGTGTGCTATGCAATACACGCTTATTTAAGTAGACCAATACCCCACTATGCGCCCTGTATTTTCCCTGTCTCACAATGGGTCTGAGCTGCTTGCTCTTGGGTTTAAATAGCACTGTAGTCTGGAGCTGCAGTGAGATGACCACAGTAAAGGGGTGCTAAACCATTGAAACAGCATATTAAGATATGGAGAAAACTTATTGCTTATTTCTGGACTGTCAGCATGCTCACCCTAGGGGGCCCCCTTGGGGTGGTAGATAAAGGCATTATTAATCGAGAGCCCAAAAAAAAGAAAAGAGATATGTCAGCTATCAGGACTGCTGGTATAATCATATGAAAAGAAAAATAATAATAATAAAAAAAAAAAAAATTCAAATCAGCGTTCCGAAGAAAAATATATTTGGTCATTAGTAATTCCCAGAGAATTCCACTTGTCAGCTCAGCTTAGCCTATGCCTGTGAGGGGCAGATCACAGTCCAGTCTTTGGGAAAGATGTGGTCCCACAGCTCCCCGTTGTCTGTGTCCCTGGATCTCCGTTTGAGATTGGTGAGTGTGCAGGAGTTGATGGGGTCTTTTGGCTGTACCTTGCTGCTGGCGTCGGGTCGCCCCCGGGGTGATAGGTGCTTGGTATGAGTTTTCAGCGTGCGTCCAGAAGTGTGGGGACATGCTGCAATGGCCAGAGGCTTCAGATGCCGCTGGGCGGTGAGTTGGTCGGGTGTGTGTGGCTATTTTGTGCTGCCATATGTGGTTGCTATTGTTGGAGCCTGGGGAGCCGTTCTCCTCTCTCCCCCATTCCGATCTCCCGCCTCTTCTCTGTCTGAGGGCCACTCTGGGGACTCGGGTCGGGCATCCACTCAAGAGGCGGCAGGTGGCAGGGCGAATCCATGCCGCCGCCTCTTTTCTCGCTTGTTTGAAGAGCCGGCGCCTATTGCGGAGCCCAGACCATAGGCTGGTGCAGAGACGTTCAAAGAAGTCCAGCGTGTGAACAGGTGATTTGGTAGGGGAGCCTTTTGTCGCATGTCGCGCCTGTGGCGCCATCTTGTTTGGGCCTTGGCAGTCCCGTTTACCCGCATGAGTTGTCGCTTGTTCGTGTCTTGCTGTGGGGGTAATCGTCCCCAGCGAGGACCGGGATATCCCCCGCTGTCCAGAAGTGTGGGGACATGCTGCAATGGCCAGAGGCTTCAGATGCCGCTGGGCGGTGAGTTGGTCGGGTGTGTGTGGCTATTTTGTGCTGCCATATGTGGTTGCTATTGTTGGAGCCTGGGGAGCCGTTCTCCTCTCTCTCCCCCATTCCGATCTCCCGCCTCTTCTCTGTCTGAGGGCCACTCTGGGGACTCGGGTCGGGCATCCACTCAAGAGGTGGCAGGTGGCAGGGCGAATCCATGCCGCCGCCTCTTTTCTCGCTTGTTTGAAGAGCCGGCGCCTATTGCGGAGCCCAGACCATAGGCTGGTGCAGAGACGTTCAAAGAAGTCCAGCGTGTGAACAGGTGATTTGGTAGGGGAGCCTTTTGTCGCATGTCGCGCCTGTGGCGCCATCTTGTTTGGGCCTTGGCAGTCCCGTTTACCCACATGAGTTGTCGCTTGTTCGTGTCTTGCTGTGGGGGTAATCGTTCCCAGCGAGGACCGGGATATCCCCCGCCGGTCCAGAGGGGGGGGGTAGCTGGGCATCTTGTAGTTCTCGCTTGCAAGCGGGTCCTTTGCCAGGCGATTGGCCGCCTCCCCCAGGCTTCAGGCTCCGCTGCAGTATAGGCCGCATGGCCGGTACATGTGCTTGTGAATCGCTGTGGTGCATGACCTGTACCGTTTTGTTCCTCGTGTGGTTCTATATCGGTTTCTGGACACCGTGGGCTGTTGGCTTAATTCGGCTTGCCAGGATTATCGTTTTTGTGCCCTTCGGTGTAAGAGCTCTTAGAGAGCACGTCCAGCCATTTTGGCTGTCAGGCCCCGCCCTCCGACAAAAATCTTTTTGACAAAAAATGTCAAGTCAAGTTATGCATATCCCTCAAAACAATACCTATGTACCCTTTTGGGTAGTAACATCATTTTACTACCCATCATTTTATATTTTAATGGACACTGTAGGCACCCAGACCACTTCTCATTGAAGTGTTCTGGGTGTAGCGTCCCTGCCCACCTTAGTCCTGCAATGTAAATTATGACTGCCTCTAGTGGCTGTCAATCAGACAGCCACCCACCAGAGGCACTTCCTGCTTGCTAGGCAGCTTTTGGGCACCTAACGGATGCTGTATATCCTCAGGTGCTGCATGAGGACATCTAGCATCAGTAAAATCTCCATAGAAAAGCATTTCAGCAATGCATTCCTATGGGGAGGGCCTAATGCGCTTACCGCATTTGCTGGCCATGCCCATTAGCCCCCCAGTTTGGTGTCATCAGAGGAGGCAGAGCACCACCCAGCGCCAAGGGAAATTGACGCTAAAATCAATTGAGTACAGAAAAGATTTCAATGGTTAGATTTCAGCCCCACGGCAGGGCCCTCTTTTAATTTTGTATTTGTCTGTGTATATTGTACATTCTCCCCTAATTGCACAGTGCTGCAGAATATGTCAACGCTTTACAAATGCCAGTAATAAATAATATATGTATGTGAATGGGTTGTTGATCCAAGGAGAAATCTGATTGCCATAATGGATTCAAGATGGATATTTTCTCTTGCTGTGCCAGTTGTAAATGACTACAATTGTTTTTTTTTGCCTTCTTTTGGATTATCAGCATAAAAGAAAATGTTGAACTTGATGGACTTTAGTCATTTTTCAACCTAGATTATTATGTGACTATGTAATGATCACATCTCACCTCATGCATCTTTTATATCATGCGATTTCTATTTTGTCATTAGGTTTGTTTTGATATAATTTCTGTCCTATTTCATAATAGTTTGTGTGCTAAAGATTGCCTGTTCTTTCATTGCTTGGACAAACAAAGAAACAGGGACACACACAGACATGCACATGTGTGCTGGGCTAGGTTCTGGTGAGACAGAGAGAGAAGTGTGACCCATAAAAAGAAAGACAGAGCAAGAGAGATGATACATAACAGTGAACCAAAGATAATGCAGTGGAAGTCTTTACAGTGTCATAACGGGAAGAATGTGCAGATGACATCCACCACTGTGCAGTACATTGTTTGAATAACGTTACCCACCTATACCACTCGTTATATAAGCCGTAGAGTAGGTGACACAACAATAACAATTAAAATCACATTGCACAGTGTGGAAGTTGGGGGCCAAAATTCAGATTCGGATTTGACTGATAAATAACTTATTTTTTTAGCAGTTCAATTATTTTGTTGCAGGTACATATTATAACTGAGTCTTGGGAGATTCATCATGGGTAATTTCATGAAGGAACAACGAGTACAAATAATGGAATTTTATTTTCAAAATGGCAGGACTATTATTTTGATGGAAAGAGATAAATTGTGCTGAAATGTGGTTCCAACAGGATGGGGCTACTGACATACATCCAGAGCCACAATAAGACAACTGTTCGGCAAGCAGATAATTTCAAGAAATTCTCTGATTAAATGGCCACCACGTTCGCCAGACCTTTCAACTCCTGATTACTTGCTGTGGGGATATCTGAAGGAGCTGTTGTACGTGAACAAGCAACGTATACTTGAGCAACTCAAGGAGAATATCCATGCAGAAATTTGAGCGCTAGAGCCACAAACATTAACTAATATTATGTACAATGCAATAGAAGGAACACAGCTTTGACGTCATACAGAGCTCATTTATAAGATGTCATCTTCCGTACCTAGTATATGTAGGTGATGGAAGTGCACTCAATTCTTCGTCATTGAATTCAGGGTGCTCTAATGGATAAGTCCCACTATCAAAAAAGGACCAAATATAGAATTGAATATAGAAAGTAATCCAGGCACTCCAGTGAATTCCAAAGTAGAAGCAATTTTTTATTGGAACAAGAAACCAAGAAGCAACGTTTCGACCCCCTTTGTCAAAGGCCCTTAGGGGTCGAAACGTTGCTTCTTGGTTTCTTGTTCCAATAAAAAATTGCCTCTACTTTGGAATTCGCTGGAGTGCCTGGATTACTTTCTATCTTCCGTACCTAGTCAAACAAATCTCCATACTTTAAGCATTCATTGTATATAATATCATTGAAATTGGTTTAGTAATAAAAAAATGTATTGAAACAAATGCCATATAAAAAAGGAACGCTATACCATTTAATAAGATATTTTAAGACAGCTAATGTTTTGAAGTTTATAACTGATTGTGATTTATAGTTTAATTCCACTCTTGATAATAATACACCCTTACCTCTTATCATTTTACCAAACTCATTTTAGAATTAAAGCTCTTTGTTATTGTTGCAAATACTTGATTTTTAGCACAGCTATTGTACAGTGCTGCAGAATTTGTTGGTGCTTTATAAAAAAAAATAGTAATAATAATATCTTACTGAGAAATCTGCTTCATGTTTTACAGTGACAAATAATATCTTTAATCATGTGGCTCCCTCTGCTGGTGGTAGTTCTGAGTTTGATCCTCCTGTATAGATGGTACAGACAGAGCCAGATACTGCAGAATCTCTCTGATAAATATGTACTAATCACTGGATGCGACACTGGATTTGGGAACCTGCTGGCAAAGCAGTTGGACCGGCGTGGGATGCTGGTATTGGCAGCTTGTTTGACTGAAAGAGGGGCTGAGGATCTGAAGAAGGAGACATCACATAGGCTGCAGACAATAATCCTGGATGTCGCTGATAGCCAGAGTGTGAGCTCTGCTACCAAGTGGGTTTTTCACAATGTGAATGATAAAGGTGATTTTGAGAAATATTAAAGTACATAAATGTTGTTTTCTTGCATGTCAAATGATCAGCACGGATTAATAAAAGCCAGAGTTCATGTGGTAGGACTAATGTAGAGAGGGCTCTGGTGTAAGGGTAGAAAATGTAGATCCTTGTCTGTCATACATCTCCCATAATGCATTGCCAGCAGGGTATCTACTATTTGCCCCTTCTTGCAGGATTTTATTTGTGGGCAGTGTCTCTATGTAAGCATGTTTTTGTATGGAGTATGTGTGGACTTAGGGGTCTATTTGTGTGTAGTGTTGGCATATAGTGAATGTAGTGTGTGTGTGTGTAGTGCAAAGTGTGTTTAGTGAATGTAGTGTGTGTGTGTGTGTGCAGTGCAGAGTGTGTTTATCAACTGTAGTGTGTTTGTAGTGAGTGCAGAGTGTGTTTAGTGAATGTAGTGTGTGTGTAGTGCAGAGTGTGTGCTTGTAAGGATGCAGTGTGTGTGTAAAAAGGAGGGGGTGGCGAGTATTTTTCTTTTAAATCTGTTTGTGTATGTTTACATTTTATTCCCCCCTCCCTGCTTCTTAGCGTGCCAGGGAGGGGCGAGATTGCATTGTGGAGGGAGCCAGCTGCGGTACATGTCAGAGACGGGGCACAACAGCACACACTGTCTTCCTTTCCAGCTCCTCTCTGATTAACTCTCGCAAGACCAGCCTGCGTGCTGTGCGGAGCATTGCCATGGTAACCCGTGGCAACACTCTGGCAACCACAGGGCACAGGAAAGTTAGACAGAGAGAATCTAGAAAGGAAGACAGAATGTGCTGCTGGGCTCCCTCTGCAATGTACAGGTAGCAGGGAGCCCGCAGTGCACATATGGAATGTGGGGCCCGGACTGCCAGAGTGGTCCGGACCCCTAGGACCGCCGGGCCCATGACAACCGTTATGATTGTCATGCCCTGATGGCGGCCCTGCCGCTATATACCCTGCTATCACAAGCTAACACTATTTTCAAATTTCCCTATGTACTGTCTCACTTACACCTTTCTTTGGATCATAAGTCCACGTGGGCATTTAACCAGCCCTAAGAATCCAGAACAAATGAACCATGTATGAATTCTTTAAAAAGCCCACATTTTATCCAACCAGAAAAAATATTAAAATAAGCAGCACAACCTCATTTGTGTTACATACAATGTGGTATTAAACGTGCAGTGTGAGACCTTACACTGACATTATTTTAAGCATTTCCATCCAGTTGCCTTTTGGAGAAGAACATTCTTCTGAATGTTCAGCGAAACCAAAACATTTAGTTTTGTGCTTTAGACAACCGTTTCGCAACCTTTTACAAAGAAGTAACCCTCCAGGTCTAAAAATGCCCAAGTAATGCAGGCTCAGGAAAGCAATTTTAATTAACTTAAATTCCAAATGAAACATGTGGACACTGATATTTAGGTTAATTCAATACTGGAGAACAAGCCTGATTAAAGGTAATAAAGAATAGTTTAAATTAAATATGAGATAATGTGAATATTGTGTTTGTGAAGAGGAGTGTATAAACAATGATCCTGAAGTATAAAAGTCACAAAATGAAAATATAATACACACAGAGGACACTGACGAACACACTTACACACAGAGGGCACTGATACACACATTTATACACACACACACCCTTACACACAGAGGACACTGATACACACATAGGAGATTGGCACACACATTTACACACAGAGGACACACTCATTGACAGGCACAGTCTCACTGATTTGACACACACTATCACTGATTTGACACACACTGACAGACGCACTCACTGACACACACTCTCACTGATTTGACAAACACTGACAGATACATACACATTCTATCATACACACTCACAAGATATTTTTTTAAAGTCCAGCAGCCTCCCTATCTTTGAGATAACTGTAGTGAATACTTTCCCTTGGGTCCAGTGTGAGTCTTGTATAATCTTCATGCTCTTCCAGCACTGCTCACTTACGCGATGTTTAGTGATACAGGGGCCGTAGTGAAGTCATAACTGGCTCTCGGCACCACCGCAGGGCACACTAGGGAGCAGTGTGGAAAGATCATGAAGATTACAGTTCCCTTTCCATCTCTTTTCTAGGGCAGAGTAGACACACCTGCTATCTGGATAGGCAGATGCTGTGAGTGCTAAGGTGGTCAGCTGGCCAGCTCTTGGTGTACCCCGTGCCTTTGGTGCGTATACTTCTTGGGGTATACATACAACTGGTTGAGAAACATGGCTCTAGACAAAACCATTGTTTTCAATCATCCCTAAGAAAGCCCATTTCTAGTAAAGATTTAGCAATATTTGACTTCATAGCTAGCAGTTATTAGTGTATAAATGTGATACAAAAAGATAACTTTTTAAATTTTTTCTTGAAAGGTCTTTGGGGCCTAGTGAATAATGCTGGGATCACAAGACCTGCAGCCCCAAATGAATGGCTGACAGTGGAGGATTTTGTTAAAGTACTGAATGTGAATCTCCTGGGGACGATCAATATGACACTCAGTCTTCTGCCGCTCATTAAAACATCGAGGGGACGTATTGTTAATGTGTCCAGTGTCATGGGTAGACTGGCTTTTGCAGGTGGTGGATACACGATTTCCAAGCATGCTATAGAAGCCTTCTCTGACTCCTTAAGGTAACATTAACAAAATTATTTATTTTAATGATAATTACGCAAAGATGATCTTTGGCAATATTGATTGAAACATAGATGTTAATAAACAAAAGAAGAAGTAATAAGTTGGCCCATTTAGCTACATTGCATCATAGAACAATTACCGATACGCTGCAGAGTCAGGCTTACTGACTTTCATTTGGGGTCATAGAAGAGACCATTGCCTCTGTATGGTGGGATAGTTAATTTATTTGACAGCTGAAATTACAGGAAAGAAGTTACTCAAAACAGGTCTGTCATCCCCCAAAATATGTCCTAAGGTCTGAGTTGGAAGTTCATTGATATTCCAATTCATAAGATAAAGCAGGGACACCTTGTTTTATGGTAAAATCGTGCCATAAAAAAATGGTGGAGCTACTACTGTCATGTTTTGTTACTTCTCCCAGCCGCCTCTTGAACACTGACATGGTGGGAAAGAAGTTGCGGGAAATCTGTGATTCTCTCTCACTAGCTCCTCTCTTGGCATATCGTTAATTGGAGAGGGCCTGGATTATTTGTGACAGCAGCATATAGCAGCTCTAGCCTGGAAGCATAACTCCTTATTATACCCATGATATGATATATAATTTTTCTTTTTCAGGCGTGAAGTTCAGCCATTTGGTGTCAAAGTTTCTATCATTGAACCTGGGTCCTACACGACCCCAGCTACAGATATGCAGGCCACACTACAAAGTATTCATGACGTTTGGAGAAGAGTTCCTCAGTCAGTCCAAGAAAGCTATGGACAACAGTATTTCCTTGACTGTGAGTAAATAAAAAAAAAAAAAAGGAAGTGTTTTATTTGTTCACTTCAGTTATTAATGGTTGAGGTCATTTGTTTGATTCCTCTGAAGGATTATTGGGAAAATAAATAAAAATATAAAGTAGAGATAATCTTTCTCTCTTCCATACTGAGATAGCAGGGTATAGAAGTGAAAAATGCATTATTGGGAATCCATATCAAGTCTTGGTCATGTTGGTGCATGATGGGCTGTTTGAGCCATGCACAGAAAGTACAATGACATCCAAGTAGCCTTTACTTGCAAGTGTGCACCCAACACAGTGCCACCAAGACCTTTGTGACTTGAGTTAGCATTCCATGTGTACCACCACTGAATGTTAAGCTTAGACATAATTGATATAACATAACTTCCAATATTGGAAGGCATGAAGTAAGTACAGGCCTTTTGGAGGCATTGTTTGTCACTGGCAATGCCCATAAGGGACAGGCTCCCCCAGAAAGTTGATGTGTCCACAGCAAGCCCACCTATTGAATGGGCATGTCACCCTTTCATCATGCACACCAGGCTGATAGACAGCCTCCCAGCCAACCTCCAACCTATATGACCATGAAGAGAGCTGCTGAAGCATACGATGTCAGTGCCTGCTGCAGCGTGTCTAATGATGCAATCATGCTCTGCTCCCCGTGGACAGTTCCCTAGTTTTCCCAAATGCACGGCTCCAGCAAACTAAATCGGGATGGTGGGAGAGCATGCTAAAATTTGGGAGACCTGATATAGCCAGCTTATACTGCAAACCTTTAAACTAGAGTTGAGCGAACCTGGACTGTAAAGTTCGGGTTCGTACCGAACATTACGTTTTTTGGACCCTGGACCCGAACACGGACATATCAGTGTATGTTCGGGTTGGAGTTCGGTGTTTGGTGATTTAATGGCGTGTTTTGAAAGGCTGCAGGGCAGCCAATCAACAAGCGTTTGACTCGTGTGCCCTTAGAAACCATCACAGCCATGCCTATTAATGGCATGCCTGTGATTGGCCAGTGCAGCATGTGACCCAGCCTCTATATATAAGCTGGAATCACGTAGCGCCGCACGTCACATGAGCTCTTATTAGTGTAGGGAGAAGATGCTGCCGCTTTCAGGGACAGATTAGGAAAGAATTCTGCAAACTAGTACATTAGTGGGGTGCACTTCATATCTGAGAGTCAAATAGAAACGTCAAATACTGTGGTTACATCGGAGTTTTAAAAAGTCTAACTTTTTGGTGCTAAATAGTACATTTGGGGTGTGCACTTCATATCTGAGAGTCAAATACTGCTGTCACATTGCAGTTTTAAAACTTAAAATTTTTTGGGTGCTAAAAAGTACATTAGTGGGGTGCACTTCATATCTGAGAGTCAAATAGAAGCATCAAATACTGTGGTTAAAGCCCAGTTGTAAAAATTCTAATTTTTTTTGGTGCTAAACTGCTAAATAGTAAATTTGGGGCATGCTCTTCATATCTGAGAGTCAAATTAAGTGTTTACAGCACACTTTGACAAATTCCCTTTTTTTTGCTCCTAAGAAGTACATTTGGGACGTGCTCTTCATATCTGAGAGTCAAATAGAAGTGTCATATACTGTGGTAACAGCCCAGTTGTAAAAATTCTAATTGTTTTGGTGCTAAACTGCTACATTTGGGGCATGCTCTTCATATTTTTGAGAGAGTCAAATCGAAGCGTCAAATACTGCGGTTACAGCGCAATTGTAAACATTCTTATTTTCTGGGTTGCAATCTGCTAAATAGTACATTAGTGGGGTGCTCTTCATATCTGAGAGTCAAATAGAAGCGTCAAATACTGCGGTTACAGCGCAATTATAAAAATTCTGAGAGTCAAATAGAAGTGTCAAATACTGTGGTTACAGCGCAGTTGTAAAAATTCTAATTGTTTTGGTGCTAAACTGCTAAATTTGGGGCATGCTCTTCGTGTGTTTAAAGCGCACTTTGACAAATTCCCATTTTTTTGCTCCTAAGAAGTACATTTGGGACGTGCTCCTTCATATCTGAGAGTCAAATAGAAGTGTCAAATACTGTGGTTACAGCGCAGTTGTAAAAATTCTAATTGTTTTGGTGCTAAACTGCTAAATAGTAAATTTGGGGTCTGCTCTTCATATATGACAGTCAAATAGAACTGTCAAATACTGCACACTTTGAAAAATTCTAATTGTTTTGGGTGATAAAAAGTAAATTTGGGGTGTGCACTTCATATCTGACAGTCAAACAGAACCGTCAAACACTGTGCTTACAGCACACTTTGAAAAATTCTAATTGTTTTGGGTGCTAAATAGTACATTTGCGGCCTGCACTTCATATCTGACAGTCAAATAGAACCATCAAATAGCAATATAACGTTATTGTAATTCGGGGGCAATACCCTCACAAGTCAAACTGAGAGGTCAGTTTATAGGGAAAACTAAATTTCAAGAAGTGGAGCGATATTTAGATGATCAGCCCCTTCCCACATGCAGCCAAAATAAGGAAATGAAGGAATAAATATACTTATACTTCTTAATGAGTAGTAGTCACACGCTCAAAATCAGGTGTTGCATATGAAAAAAAGAATTACAAATAGTAATAGTGCAAATCTCTATATATAATATATAAATTGCACTTTTATATGTAGTGCTACTTAACATATATATTATATTGTATACTTAATGAGTTTAGTAATTGAACAAACATTTATTCACAATAAAACATTAAAAATACAGAATACAAAAACAATCAAATTTGAATAAAAAATGGTAAACAGATAACTACTTACTAGAATTGATGGTGAGTACAGCGGTATATTTTCCCGTGTCTCACAAGCACGCTTTCCCACACTGGGAGATGTCTCTTTAGTTAAATCAGGTGAGGTCCCGGTATCTATAATAAGGATTGCGAGTTCATCCACTGTGGTACAATCACCATTCGTCAGGACGTAATGAGGCTTTCTTCCTCCGTGCTGCCAGAAGCTTTTAAAGGGCAGAATGTCTCTCTAATTGATGCTATTCACATTCTACATATAGCAAAAACATGCACGGGCAATCAGCTCTAAAGTAGTTTAATTAAGCGGGCAATTTCAGTTGTTGATAAAGGCAGTTTTGTTGCAAAAGCCAACTTTAGCAATCCATAACACCATCATAAACCTTATGCAAACACTAACTTATTTTAACAAATTTATACATTATAAAAATATATTATAAATATCATTATTAAATCAACAATATATATACACATATAGTTTAAAATAGAACATGATGAGAATATATATTATAGTTGCAAAATTGGAACATAATAAAGATACACAGTATAAATACCTAATTCTGTAGAGATAGGGAAAAAACACAAAAATTTCAATAGCATTCTAGCAGAGGTATATTGCCACTTATAAAAAAGTATTGCAAACTTTCTCCATTATCCATGCAGTTTAAAGTGATAGTGCAAATGTGTATGAAGACACAAGAAAGTATTTTGTGCAAGATCCCATAGAGCAAATTACATAAAATCAAATCAAATTAGGTTGAACTAAATTCAGAATAGAGGTGGATACTTGTTACATTCCCTCTATTGTTTCAAATATTGCATACTTTAATTTAATTTAAAAAAAATGACAGATTTCAAAATCATTTAATTTTACGTGTTTATAGGGAAAACTGTTGCCTAGATACAATTGTAAAACAATTCCCATTTGTCCTTTGCAGAATTTACATGCTGGAAAAACACAGGTGCCAACTGCTGTGGCTTTCTGCAGTGTGCAGACCGGCAAAGAGGGCAGGGTTGAGGATTGGGTGGAAGATGATGTGGAGGATGATGAGGTCCTAGACCCCACATGGAATCAAGGTCATGCGAGTGACGTGTGCAGTTTGGAGGAGGAGGTGCTGGTCGAACAGAGGCACCAGCACAGCATAAGAGGGAGCAGGGTGCAAAAGTGGAGCGGCCATCCCCTAGCGCTCGTCGGCATGTATTATCTTTAGAATTCCCACAGTTATCGCAGTCCGGTGACCGGGATTCAGACACTGTCTGGGCGGCGGTCGGACAACTGGGACCCAGTATGCCTGATGTTGAAGTTAGGAGTCACAATGTGTAATGGATTAGCAGGGTCTGGTGCAGGGTAACCGCACGCCGCCTGGTGTTGAGCACCAGCGTTTGTGCGGCCACATACCAGGACCCTGATGCAGCTTCAGTAAAAAGAGAACTGGATACCAGAAGCCATCACCAGACTGATCTGCAACTTGGAACAGGATCTCACCCTGCTGCTGCTCGCCTGTCTGCGCTGCAGCATAACTTTGGCCTTCCCGCTCACCGTCTCATATGCGACATGCCCACAACTCCACCTTGCACATGCTGAAGAGACTGCGAGCAGCAGCAGGCGATAGTGGAGTTTCAGCTGCAGAACGCACGGGTCAGTCGCTCTGTGGAACAGCACCACTTCACCACCAATAAGTGTGCCATGTTGCGCTGTTTTGAGTACTCTACAAACATGGCCAGTCCCGATGACGCCGTTCTCAGCCTTACTTTCCTGCTTCTATGTCTCCTTGAAAAGACGCTTTGGGCGATGATGGAAGAGGATGTGGCACAGGAGGAATAGGGGGAGGAAGAGAGGTCATTTCCACGGTTATCAGGCCAGTCATTCACAAGTGGCTCGGAGGGTGGATTCCTGCACCAGCATAGGCCAGGTACACAATTGTCCAGCATCACCACACTGTCCCATGGAAGCGTTCAGCTGTCCATCTCCCAAACACTGGAGAGAAAGAGGAAGTACCCCCCTAGCCACCCGCGATCCCTGGCCCTGAATGCCAGCATTTCAAAATTTGTGGCCTTTGAAATGCTGTCATTCCGTCTGGTGGAGACGGACAGTTTTAAAAACCTGATGGCGTTATTGGACTGCAAGAAATGCACCGCAGGCTGCAAATGTTTCTTTTTTTATATGTCCAAATATTTTGGGGGCTTCCCCAATAAAAAACAAACAAACAAATAAAAAACAGTGTTGGCTACCTCCTCCTCCTCCACCGCCGCTTCCACAACCTACCTCCTCCTCCACCGCCGCCACTTTCACCGCCTCGTCAACCTATGGGTCACTTAGTATAAACTATGTACACAATAGCAGAGGCTTGTGAAGGCCTTTTTCTCCATGCATCAGGAGTTGAGCTCAGTTTGAACAATGAAAGAATACCCTGCACTCCTACCCTCTCTCAAATGGATAAGTCTGGTGATCCTCCTGACAGCCATGCTTTAGATTTTGATTTATGTTCTTCCAAAGCTAAAATCAAAAATGTCATCTAGTGCTATTTTATGGCTCAGCTGTATTTTTAATTTTTAGGTATTTTATGTTATTTTAAGTGATTTCCCTATCCACATCTGTTTGCAGGGCACTTGTCCTACTCTTACCCCCATATTACTTACTTTTGCAGCCCTCTACCCCTTTCCAGGACTTTTTTAGAGGCATTTTTGTGCCCAAAAGTTGGGGTCCCCATTGACTTCAATGGGGTTTGGGTTCAGGGTCAAGTTAGAGCCTTTTTTTCAAAGTTCGGGCGAACCCGCCGGACCCGAACATCCAGGTGTCCGCTCAACTCTACTTTAAACCACTTCCTCAAACTCTCTTTCATACTTCAACAGAAATCAAGTCTTTGACAGATGGAAGGGTGCAACTTGGCACCTTTATAAGACAGCCAAGAGGGTTATCGTCTTAATTGTTTTGTGCCCCATCACAAAGCAGATGACAATGCATATCATAGCGGAGCATTAATTTAAATGCTTCTTTATGAGAAGCCTTGAAGGTACAGCTAATGCTATGCATGCACCCTGTTTTCCAGTGCTCTGCACTGGCCAGTGTATCATCATTATTGGTGATCTTCCAGAGGCATAGCAGAGCTGTGGTGAGGGACCCTCATGCCTCTCAATTATAGGTAAGTTAACCCTCTTTTTACAGGGAAAGGAGAGACAAAGGGGTGTGGGAGATTTACCAACACTCTAGTGTTATAAATATATGTTCATGTAATTATTTTTATGATGTTAATAAATATTATACATTTTCTTTTTTCATAGATTGCAAATTCATCCAGTTCAGGATAACTAAGTGCAATCCCCATCTAAACCAGGTTACAGACTGCATGCAGCATGCCCTAATGGCTGTCTATCCGTGGACTCGCTATTCTACTGGCTGGAAGTCTAAGCTCTTCTTTATTCCTGTGTCATATCTACCCACGTTTGTATCTGACTATCTGCTAACTTATTCTTTCCCAAAGCCACCTTCCAACAGAACTTCAGAAATAAATCATTGACAAAAATCAGAATGCAATATACTGCTGTTGAAAGTAACAATTAAGATTATTCTAATTTTAATGCCAGTGGTCGTATATTTCAAGCAGCAATGTTTATTTGTTAGTTGAGCTCTAAATATTTTAACAAAAAAGGCTAACAAAATTACATTTACTAAACAAAACAATATGCGTGTGTTCTTTGACATGATTAAATGTTTTTTGTTTTTTTTAGGATATTATTTATCGGATTCTATATATAAGTAGTATCTTATGTCCCCTTTCAATAATTCAATATTGACATTACATTTCTTATAAATTTTAGGGCACTACATTAGTAATTATACAGTCAGAAGTACATTAGAATCAAGTAGAATCAGATTAGATTAATAGTGGCAATAAAGATAATGATAAATTGAAGTAAGGGAAATGTGAATGCATGGATAGGAAGTTATGAAATGTTGAATGCAAATTAATAAAGCTGGATGAGAACTGGTAAGAACTAGCTAGAACATTGCCATTTGGTTTCAACATAAGAAGGATAATTGAGCTATGGAGGACCAAGGAATGTGTTCATGAATAAATAGCTTTTCAGATGTGATGAATTATTAGACTGTGCACAGAGGAAACATTTGTTTCAGATGAATCACTTCTGCAGAAAATCAAAACATTTTCAGGATAGCCGAATTTTGATCATATTTTGGCTCGGCTGAATTTCATTAGCAAAGAAAGATTAAGGAAAACAAATCAGATATACCTACAGGCATGCAAATGGGCCAATGAGTGTACCGTAAAATATATACAATATATTTTATTTATTATATAACTATATATATATATATATGTATATATATTTATTTTTTTTCAATTAAAATATATGTAATAAAAATACACTGCTCAAAAAAATAAAGGGAACACTTAAACAACACAACGTAACTCCAAGTCAATCACACTTCTGTGAAATCAAACTGTCCACTTAGGAAGCAACACTGAGTGACAATCAATTTCACATGCTGTTGTGCAAATGGGATAGACAACAGGTGGAAATTATAGGCAATTAGCAAGACACCCCCAATAAAGGAGTGGTTCTGCAGGTGGTGACCACAGACCACTTCTCAGTTCCTATGCTTCCTGGCTGATGTTTTGGTCACTTTTGAATGCTGGCAGTGCTTTCACTCTAGTGGTAGCATGAGATGGAGTCTGCAACCCACACAAGTGGCTCAGGTAGTGCAGCTCATCCAGGATGGCACATCAATGCGAGCTGTGGCAAGAAGGTTTGCTGTGTCTGTCAGCATAGTGTCCAGAGCATGGAGGCGCTACCAGGAGACAGGCCAGTACATCAGGAGACGTGAAGGAGGCCGTAGGAGGGCAACAACCCAGCAGCAGGACCACTACCTGCGCCTTTGTGCAAGGAGGAACAGGAAGAGCACTGCCAGAGTCCTGCAAAATGACCTCCAGCAGGCCACAAATGTGCATGTGTCTGCTCAAATGGTCAGAAACAGACTCCATGAGGGTAGTATGAGGGCCCGACGTCCACAGGTGGGGGTTGTGCTTACAGCCCAACACCGTGCAGGACGTTCAGGGCCGTCTTTAACACGGGGCAAACGGGGCAACTGCCCCGGGCCCAGTTACTCCTTGGGGGCCCAAAGCAGCTGCCCTATTTGCCCCGCCGCCCATAGCCTGCATAAGAAAAATCCCCCCCCCCATGGGCCCGCGGTGCTGGTACTGCGGCTGCACCGGGGCCCATACTCTAAGGAGGCTCACCGGGTGGCCAATACATTTAGGGCCACCCGGTGAGCACGTTTCAGCAGGGGCCCGGTCGGGTGCTGTGACCCTTTAACAGCACGACCGGGCCCCTTGCTTTACAGCAGCACTGGGAGGAAGTGACGTCCGCAAGTCACTTCCTCCCTCAGAGATGATGAGCCGCGCGGGAGGGAGCCTGTGCCAGGACGCAGTGAGGAGGCGGACTGAGCAAAGAGACCAAGTCCCCAACTCCCAACCACCCAAGCCAGCACACTGGACCCCAGGGAAGGTAGGAAACTGGAGGGGGGCTTTAATGTTTGCATAGGTGTATTTCAGTATGTCTGTGGGTCAGTATGTCTGTGTGTGTGTCTGTCAGTAGGTCTATGTGTGTCAGAAGGTCTGACTGTGTGCCAGTATGTCTGTGTGCCAGTGTGTGTCTGTCAGTAGGTCTGACTGTGTGTATGTCAGTGTGTCTGTGTGCCAGTATGTCTGTGTGTCTGTGTGCCAGTATGTCTACCTGGGTGTGCCACTATGTCTGTCTGTGTGTGCCACTATGTCTGTGTGTGTGTGCCACTATGTCTGTGTGTGTGTGTCAGTATGTGTCTGTGTATGCCAGTATGTCTGTCTGGGTGTGTGTCAGTATGTCTGTCTGGGTGTGTGTCAGTATGTCTGTGTGCCAGTATGTCTGTCTGTGTGTGCCACTATGTCTGTGTGTGTGTGTCAGTATGTGTCTGTGTATGCCAGTATGTCTGTCTGGGTGTGTGTCAGTATGTCTGTGTGTGTGTCAGTATGTCTGTGTGTGTGTCTGTCAGTAGGTCTGTGTGTGTGTCTGTCAGTAGGTCTGTGTGTCTGTCAGTAGGTCTATGTGTGTGTGTGTGTGTCTGTCAGTAGGTCTGTGTGTGTGTCTGTCAGTAGGTCTGTGTGTGTATGTGTGTCTGTCAGTAGGTCTGTGTGTGTGTAGTATGTCTGTGTGTGTCTGTCAGTAGGTCCCTGTCTGTCAGTAGGTCTGGCTGTGTGTGTGTCAGTATGTCTGTGTACCAGTATGTCTGTCTGTGTGTGCCATAAATATATATATATCGATATATGTGTGTGTGTATATGTGCATACATCTCAGCATTCACACACTAACATCACATACAAATACACACTGGCATTCAAACTCCAAAACACACGTCTGAGTTACACACCAAAATTATATGTAAACACACCCCTGCATTCAAAAACCAACACTACACATAAATACATGCTTGCACGTACGCCAACACCACATACAAACATATTCCATACAAAAACCTGCTAACATTCAAACACACAACAGCTTAGTGCTAAATACAAACCTTCAAACATGGGTAAATGGAAGAGCCCCAGCTGTCAGTGCATTGCTGGAGTTGCACGACAGATGGGGATCTACCTTCTAATCACCCGTGCGATAGGGAGGCTCAAAAAAATTCTTGCACCTCTCTACTTTAGGTCTGCCACTTCGTTAGGGTGGAGGACGTGATTGCACGCCTAGTGAGGGGGGACAGGTTCCAGGGGCCCAAGCAAATGCTTTGCCCAGGGCCCAATCAATATTAAAGACGGCCCTGAGGACGTTAGGCATTTGCCAGAGAACACCAAGATTGGCAAATTCGCCACTGGTACCCTTTGCTCTTCACAGATGAAAGCAGGTTCACACTGAGCACATGTGACAGACCGGACAGAGTCTGGAGAGGCCGTGGAGAACGTTCTGCTGCCTGCAACATCCTCCAACATGACCGGTTTGGCAGTGAGTCAGTAATGGTGTGGGGTGGCATTTCTTTGGGGGGCTGCACAGCCCTCCATGTGCTCGCAAGAGGTAGCCTGACTGCCATTAGGTACCGAGATGAGATCCTCAGACCTCTTGTGCTTGTGAGACCATATGCTGATGCGGTGGCCCTGGGTTCCTCTAATGCAAGACAATGCTAGACCTCATGTGGCTGGAGTGTGTCAGCAGTCCCTGCAAAACGAAGGCATTGATGCTATGGACTGGCCCGCCCGTTCCCGAGACCTGAATCCAATTGAGCACATCTGGGACATCATGTCTCGCTCCATCCACCAACGTCACGTTGCACCACAGACTATCCAGGAGTTGGCAGATGCTTTAGTCCAGGTCTGGGAGGAGATACCTCAGGAGACCATCCACCACCTCATCAGGAGCATGCACAGGCATTGTAAGGAGGTCATACAGGCACGTGGAGGCCACACACACTACTGAGCCTCATTTTGACTTATTTTAAGGACATCACATCAAAGCTGGATCAGCCTGTAGTGTGTTTTTCCACTTTAATTTTGAGTGTGACTCCAAATACAGACCTTCGTGGGTTGAAAAATTTGATTTCCATTTTTTTTATTTTTGTGTGATTTTGTTGTCAGCACATTCAACTATGTAAGGAACAAAGTATTTCAGAAGAATATTTAATTCATTCAGATCTAGGATGTGTTATTTTTGTGTTCCCCTTATTTTTTTGAGCAGTGTATAAAACAGCTTTTTACTACTCGCATTTGATTCCCTCTGTTGGTTTGGTTACTTCTTCACATCTGTGAATAAAATCATAATTTATGGACTGTGTGATTCAAAATCACAAATCAAAACTTAGCTTGACCATTGCGCATCTTATTTTTGTAATGATTCGACTATATTTCAGCATCGAGTTCAGGTATTGTACAGGAAAGTCTACCCCTCAACCTTTTCTCCCTGACATCCCTCACCCTGCAGTGAGTAGGAATGACATCAGAGGAAGATGATCTGGCTCATGGGCTGCTTACCTCAAACACTGGTATTTAAGTATGTTTTAGCATTATTTTTATAAAGTTTGGGGAACCAGGATAGAAAGTAATTATTTAAGTTTAGTATTTAAATTCAGCATAAACACTTTGCAGTTACTATAACAATTGCTATAGATGTTACTATACAGACTACACACTAGGTGTCACCCTAACAGTAAAACAATTATCAGAAATAAATCTGTTCATCCTTTACTGAACTGTTTGTTCAATAAGGATTGTAAAAATTACATGGACATTTAAGAGTTAATCACATGTGTTACATGTTGGTTTGCAGTGATGTTTTCACTTATTGTATACTTTGTTCAAATATGTGTGATACTATAATGATACAATAAAAGATTTTTGATATTTTGTTTTTTTCTTCCCTATATTTAGCAGTTATGTATTTGTGATGGCTGAAAAGGAAATTAAATATCCACACCTCTTTATCCTGCAACTGGGGAACTTAGCTCCCTGTCAATCACAAGACCAATACCCATTTAGAGAATGTAACATGGCAGAAGAGCACAAACTGAAACAATCAGGGTTATTCACCAAAGGGAAAGTCAAATTTAAGACCAAAGTAGGTGAATTGGAAGCATCCCTGACTTAGAGAATGTTTCCAGTTCGGCAATTTTTTACGTTTAATTTCAAATTTACTTTTAATTTTCTTTGACTTCTAACTATAATGAATAACCGTGAATGTTTCTGTTTTTCCCCTCACTGTTGGTCTTGGCAATCATGGACTGACCTGTATTATGATAAAACAACATTAAAGCAATAAATATCAAGCGGTGTAGGTAGAGTGTAGTTACGACGGTCTAATACCCAGATCCAGTAAAAGCAATTCACAGTCAACACATAAATATTCCCAACTTTCCTCTCAAACACCTTCAGGTACTAATACCAAAAACATTGGTAGTTGAGAACACAACTCATGTCAGTCTCAGCTTGATCAACATAGTAAAACTTCCTAAAAGACTGATAGTAATATCCAGTAGGTTGGAACCAAGTTAGAAATCATTTTTTTAAATTAAATGATTAGTGTTTTATTCAATGGTGTAATTCCAAGAAAAATATAGTACAGCTTTAAATCAAATAGAAAAACACTGTCAAGTACATTTATAAAGTAAACATCACAGGTGTATGTAAACCACCTATATGCTCACATACAAACTTGACATTGCAAGCATAAATAAATAAATATTTCAATGTATTTCAGATATATAAAACTGTCTCCTCATGTTTTTTCTCAGTTAGTCGCAACAAAAGTAAAAGCACAATTGTTCTAAATTAAATTTCTTAATTTTTCAACTTGATAATAATTCAGGCCAAATTTACAATCCCCTACTACAAAGTAGTTCAAAGTGAATTTCAAAATCAAGGTAAAAATATCCAAACTGGAAACATCCTCCAAATCTGATAAACTTCTAGTTCAGTTACTTTGGTCTTAAATTTAGAATTCACTTTATCTGAAAAGGCAGTGTGTTTACATTAAAAAGCCTGCAGGGACAGGCTATAGACACCAGAACCACTAAGAACCATTAAGCTGTAGTGCTTCTAGTGACTATAGTGTCCCTTTAATGAAAGGTAAATAAGAGATTAGTGCCACTAATAATATACTGGATTTTCTACTTACCATCAGATGAGGACAAGAGGATGATGATGGGCTCTTTACCTATGAGACTACAGAGGAGACTGGATATGGCGGCCTGGGCGGGGGTGCACCAAAAAACTACTAGCTTCAGAAATAATACCATAGGCTGCTGTTACATTGTTTAAAAAAAAATATCCCTTTAACCGCTCCTCCTTTCTTACTGTTAAAATATGCAAACCTACCAAACCACCCATCAGACTGAAATCTTATAATATCTCCACAGAGACTATTCTTATACACTTAGAGTTAGAATCCTTCCAGAGGTGAGTGTTATTTGCCATTTTTTAATGTACTTATATTTTTTAATGTACTTATACTAGAAAATGGACAGAGTCACTATTATTTCAAACCGCACAAACACATTAAATTGCAAAAATAATTAAAACTAGAAACAATCTATAGTTTTTTTTTTTTTTATCTATCGGTTATGACCCTTAATTCTAAAATTCTGTTTCTGTAGGTAAGTGCTTGTTTTAGAATTTTGACTCACATTTGAAAGAATTTTATGCAACTTTTTTAAGTATTCAGAGTATTTCACAATATGTGTGTAGAACTATGATATATTTTATAACTTAAAAGTTAGTTTCCTATTTTTTAATACATAGCAAACTCTTTTTTTAATTTTTAAAGAAAAATACATTATTATTTCATACTTTTGTTTTGATTTTTTTGGGGGGGAGAAATATTCCATATACACAGACCAGAACACAGAGAAGAACTAAGATCCGACATGGCCCCAACCCAGCCTGTGGGATCTATCATTTAAAGCACTTTTGTACAAAGTACACAGACACAGTATACATATACTTCTACACATACACAATACATTAGCACCCATACAGATTTAGAACACTCTCACCCAGAACTGACATATTGCACTATTATCTGTATATACTGTTTTGTGTTTAAAGGTCCTGTCTTTGACAGTTAATGAGTGTATGTATATATAAGATTATATACTAATTCTGCACTTTAAATATTATTTTTTTTATCTGTGTGGTTGTTTTGGCGTAGTAGATCATTCCTGTTTTTTCACAATTTGCACACTTTGCAAGGTTTGGGAATTCTTGCGCATCTACTGCAGCCAGGGCTGGCCTTAGGGTTGTGCGAGCTGTGCGGTAACTCAGGGCACAATGCCTGCAGGGGGCGCCATGCTGCCGAAATGCCCTAGATTTCATTCTGATGGGTGGAGTTATTAGGTGGTTTAAATATTTTAACAGTAAGAAAGGAGGAGCGGCGTATATAGAGCACCCCTATACTGCATGTCTGCACACCCGGGTGGAGAACTTCATTATTCTCCACCCTGGACTATAAAAAAAACCTAATCAACTAAGGCAGCAGGGGAGGAGCTTCATGCACAGTGGGAGAGGAGCTTAATGAGATACAGAGGCCGGGCAAAAAGAGCAGCAAGGCGGAGATAAAAGTACTTGCTGCCTTTAACACCTGCACACAAAGTGGAAGCAGTAAGGGGAGCCTGCTTCCACAATGACTAGGTACCAGGAACTGCAGTGCCTTCCCTCCTCACTCCAGTCCATAATGGCAAAAGGTAAGTGTGTATGTGTGTGTGACTGTCTGTAGCAGTGTTATACTGTATACTGTATATAAGACTGAGTGTGACTGTATGCCTGTAACTGTGTGTATGTGTGTGACTGTCTGCAACTGTGTATGTGTATCCATCTGCCTGTAACAGTGTGTGTGTGTGACTGTGTCTATAACTGTTTGTGTGTAACTGTCTGCCTGTAACTGTGTGTGTGTGAGACAGATTACCAGCACACTGGACCACCAGAGATCAGCATGTTTCCCTATCAGCAAGGTAGCAACAGGGAAGGAGGAATTAATATTTGTTTTGAAATAATAATTAAGTTAATAAATCCACTATAGAAACTCTACACCCCTATACACACACACACTATACATGATGAAAAGGTATGAAAATTTCTCGCAGAGGGCGCCTTTTGGCCTAAGGCCGGCCCTGACTGCAGCCCATTCTTATTGATTGATTATAGTGAGCGCCTACACCTTTTTATTTATACATACACACTATTACAAAATGACCTACACATGCATATACATACACAAACAAACACGTACAACAATTATCATCATATTGAAGCAATTAATTTCTTTTTGTTGTTGTTGAAGACCTTTTTTTTGGTTGTTGCAAGGGGTGGTTTAGATGAGTGAGGATTCTTGAGAATTCTGTGCCTACAGGTGCTTATGATGTAAATTCGGCCTTGGGTGGACTGGGCTAAGTGGGAAGATGCCAATTATCCCCCATACCAGCATTATAAAAACCAAAGCTATGATTCTAGGAAGGGTTTTGTGACGGAACGCTGGCACTCCGACCGAGTACCTCCGCCAATCGATGCTCTTAGTGCTTGCCGAGGACTCCAAGCGACACCATAAGCATTGCAGATCCCACATCCATGCAGCCTCGCCAGGGTCTCGCCATCCTTCACCCATCCAGCTTCCAGTGGGCAGACCTAAAATGAAGTAGCTGCATTATGTTAAAATGTAACTCCTTTACAATAGATGTTTTTTTGTTTGTTTTTTTACTAACTTATGACAGATTCTCCTTTAAACAAACACACTCTCTTACATTAGAGACATTACATTGCCAAGGTATATATTCATTTACTTACTACGTTCTCATTGCAGAAGGGAGATGCGTGACTTTGGGGTCAAAGTTTCCATCATAGAGCCTGGTGTTTTCAGAACTCCAATGTGTATGATTGATCCAGTGATGAAGAACCTGAAAAGTTATTGGGAGAAAGTTCCTGCGGAGATAAAGGAGTCATATGGAGAGCAGTATTTCCAGCAATGTAAGACTGTATGCTCGTTTTAATAATATCTGGATATGGAAACATTTTCTTATCAATTTTCTCTAATTAAGGGGAAACAAGCACTGAATGGAGGTTATGCACGACAAATACTACGCTGTGCTAATCAGGTATCTATAATCAAAAATTTTAGAAAACAGCATTAAAGGAACACTATAGGGTCAGGAACACAAACATGTATTCCTGACCCTATAGTGTTAAAACCACCATCTAGTCCCTCTGGGCCACTCATTCCTCCCTAAATATAGTAAAATCTTACTTGTATTCAAGTCTGAAGCTGTTGCTCTGCATGCTGTTTGCCTCTGAATAGCAAGCTGGATGCTGATATCATCAGAAGTGGTGGCCTGATCCAATCACAATGCTTTCCCATAGCATTGGCTGAGACTGACAAGGATGCAAATCAGGGGCAGAGCCAGCACAAGTCAAACAGAGCCCTGGCAATCAGCATCTCCTCATAGAGATGAATTGAATCAATGAATCTCTATGAGGAAAGTTCAGTGTCTGCATGCACATGGCAGAGATACTGAATGTTTTGATGTATTTTAGGCAGCAATGACCCAGGAAGGATCTCTAACAGCCATCTGAGGAGTGGCGAGTGAAGTTATCACTAGGCTGTAATGTAAACACTGCATTTTCTCTGAAAAGACAGTGCTTACAGCAAAAGACCTGAAGGTAATGATTCTACTCACCGAAACAAATTCAACAAGCTGTAGTTGTTCTGGTGACTATAGTGTCCCTTTAAAAGGTTACTCCAGCTTCCATGACCATGTCTGCTTTTAGAAGTGGTCATGATAGTAGCAATCAATATGTGCAGTGTTTCACTTCTGTTTGTCAGTTAGACATATTAATACACATCAAACTAGTGTTTTCTTTATTTTTTATTTTTTTTTACTAATTACTAATATATAATAAAACAGCAAAGGATGTCACAGGATGATGGATGTTCAACAGCAGATGTTAATTGCTGGACTCAGGAAGGGAGAGATAGAGTCTTTGTCCTTAAAATCAGAGAACAGGCCGGCAACAAGTCTTGTGGTCCTTTGTCCACTATTCTACATAGCTATGACCACAATGATGTCAGGCTTTTTAGCTAAAATTCTTGCCATATAAAGACACATATGAAGACCCTCTTTATATGCAACCACATTCCAGAATTCTCAGACAAAAAAACCCATGTGACTTATTTTTTTTTGTCAATCTTTGTTTATTAGCATGTTTTTTCAAAAGTAGTAGGCGATACAGAAATAAGAAATAGAATAGCATTCAAACAACACATTAAGGTACATAAATTTGAGTGAATACATCCTTCAGGCTGCTCCCCCGTCTAAGCATACGCATCGGGAGTTAGGTGGCTGGGTACTTTCGTGCATTAGCGAACGGAGCTCGTTTTGCATGACCCCTAGTTATCTAATTTGCTGAGGATCACTGCGCCTCCTTTGGAAGGTATGGGAAGTATAGAGGTGTTACAATCCAATCTTTGTTTATTAGCATGTTTTTTCAAAAGTAGTAGGCGATACAGAAATAAGAAATAGAATAGCATTCAAACAACACATTAAGGTACATAAATTTGAGTGAATACATCCTTCAGGCTGCTCCCCCGTCTAAGCATACGCATCGGGAGTTAGGTGGCTGGGTACTTTCGTGCATTAGCGAACGGAGCTCGTTTTGCATGACCCCTAGTTATCTAATTTGCTGAGGATCACTGCGCCTCCTTTGGAAGGTATGGGAAGTATAGAGGTGTTACAATCCCATATTTCAGCCTCTGTGCCCCCGTCCTACATCCCAAGGATCCCCGTGCCTTTTCCCGTGTTTGTTTGTAGCGTGTGTCAGGAGTCCCGGTGTAGTGTGGGTCATGTGGGTAATCCGTCTTTTCCCGTAGAGACTCGTCTGTCCTCTCTACCTATTGTCTGTCATATATCATATACCCATGGGGGGTGGTGTGGGACTGTCTAACCTGCTTGCGAATGGCATGAATGCCTCCAGTTTGCGTACCCTAAGGAAGAGTCCCTAGTATGTGTCCGAGGTATACCTCGCCTCCCTACTTTAGGCGCCCGAAGGAGGAGTGAAATGCTGTGCTGGTACTACTAATCGGGTTGTCACTATTGGAGAATCAGCCGTGAATTGAGAGATCGAAAAGGCGGGTGCACGCTATTAGGTAGGTTTAATAAGTTAGCCCCGCTGTACGTACATGAAGGAAGAGATAGAGGGGACAAATAGAAGGCATGGGGGAATTAGTGATAGAGAGAAGGGAATGGGGTGAGGAACAGGCTGGATTGGGATGCCCGGCCCCGGTCTCGTGGGTCTCCCCCATCCATCACGTTGAGAGCATGCTCAGGGCCCTTAATCCTCCATTTACCAGGCAGGTCGGTTTCCAGATTCGTCCCTGTTGCACAGGTAGTACGTTCATGTCCTCCAGATCCCCTTTTTCTTTTCTCGAGCCTTCCACTCACCGCCACTATTTCAGCTTCCACTTGCCTGATCTCCTCCACTCTCTGGAGCGAGGCTGTGAACGTTGGTGGCTGTTTCTGCCGCCATAGTGCTGGGATCAGCGATTTTGCTGCCGTTAGGAGGTGTCGGGACACAGTTTTCTTATACCTCAATATGGGTAGGTCTGTTCTGTTGAGTAAGATATCTGCCAGGTCAAAAGCAACCTCCTCCTCAGCCACCCTCCGCAGCACCTCGTATATGTGTTGCCAGTATTGTGTTATGAGTGGGCATGCCCAGAAAATGTAAAGAAGAGTTCCCACCCCCTCCCCATATCTCCAGCAGTGCTCATGGGCTTCTGGCAGTTATTTATGGATCTTCTGTAGTGTGTCATACCACTGAGTAAATATTTTATAGTTGATTTCCTGATACTTGGCACATCGAGAGCTGAGGGACGTGCACATGGCCATCTTGTACCATTCGGGTTGAGTATACGAGGTATGTACTGCCCCTTCCCACTGCGCCTGGAACTTCATAGGAGGGACTGCATCCACCTGCTGCAGGAGTGTGAAGAGGACTGATATAGTACGATGGAGGCCTTCACCTTTCGAGCAAATCTCCTCGAAAGGGAGCAGAGGTCTCGTAAGCTGTAGTTGGTGAGCAACCGACTTGTGAAAGTGGATCAGTTGGTGGTACTGAAAGCACTCAATCATAGTTGGTTCACGGTTTTGCAGGAATTCCCGCAGGGGTATCAGAACACGGCCCCTACAGAGCTCCGAGACACGCTTGTGTTGGCTTTTCCCTAAGAACCCCAGGGACTGTACATCCTGTCCAGCTAGGAACGCCGTGTTGCCTGTGACTGGGTACATCAGGCTGGTTAGCTTTGTAAGGGAGAGCCGAAAGCGTGTCTGGTACCAAACCTTCAGAGTCGCCCCAATAAAGGGTTATGTAAATTCTTTTTTGCTGTGTCGTCCGACAGCCACTTCGAAGCATCTCTCTCCAGCGCCGTCCAGATCCTCTGTGAGTCGGTTTCATGCCAGGCTACAATTCTCGACAGGTGTGTTGCTTTATAATAACCGATTATGTCTGGTAGGCCAAGTCTCCCTATCAGGTGTCCTAGTCGTATATGTGGTCTGCGCCCCTTCCATATGAATTTTATTAAAGCCGAGTTAAGGGATCGGAAAAAGGTGGGTGGAAGGCTGATCTGTGTTATGCTACTTGGGTTATTTGGATTGGAACTCAACTGCAGCTTGTAGAACTCCTTAAAGGACCACTCTAGGCACCCAGACCACTTCAGCTTAATGAAGTGGTCTGGGTGCCAGGTCCAGCTAGGGTTAACCCATTTTTTAATAAACATAGCAGTTTCAGAGAAACTGCTATGTTTATTAATGGGTTAAGCCTTCCCCCTAATCTTCTAGTGGCTGTCTCATTGACAGCCACTAGAGGCGCTTGCGTGCTTCTCACTGTGATTTTCACAGTGAGAGCACGCAAGCGTCCATAGGAAAGCATTGTAAATGCTTTCCTATGCGACCGGCTGAATGCGCGCGCAGCTCTTGCCGCGCGTGCGCATTCAGCCGACGGGGCGGAACGGAGGAGGAGAGCTCTCCGCCCAGCGCAGGAAAAAGGTACGTTTAAACCCCTTTCCCCTTTCCAGAGCCGGGCGGGAGGGGGTCCTTGAGGGTGGGGGCACCCTCAGGGCACTATAGTGCCAGGAAAACGAGTATGTTTTCCTGGCACTATAGTGGTCCTTTAATTACAATAGTAAAGAAACAAAGAATCTTTAAAGTATCAATACTGTAGCTTTAAGAAAAGAGAGGATTGCTAGCAATTTGAGAATCAAACGAAGTTTTAATAATTGATAAACTTAAATGAATTGCATATAGGCAATAATCCAATAAGAAGAAAGTGCAGGTTATCAAACAATACAAAGTTCATTAATAAGTATTTCCTCAGAGAAGTATTAAATAAGCTTCTTTAGGTTGCTGGAAATAATCTTCAATAGAAACATTAAGCAGGTAGCAGAGAGTATTTGCAAAGCAAGAAACAGTTCATAGTAAATAAGCATGATGGGAGTTGTCCTCCATATAATTAATAACTTGAAGCAGAGAAGATTTGAGCAAGCAGGAATTGGTTCATTAATAAATGATATTGCAGACAATAGTTGAAAGATATACTTAAGGTTAAGGAGAGTTGTCCTCCAAGAGTTCAGAGTTATAGTCCACTTGTAAATTAGCAAAGTATCCGTTCTCCAGTAATCCTCTATGGCATGCAGCTTAATCCTTGCATTGGCTCAAAGGCTAGGACGGCTTGTCATAGCTCGTGGAGCCGGCGTGTATACCCGGAAGTAGGTCCCACAATCACCAAGCGCCTGCTCCCTGGCGCGGTCTCCCTAAGTACTGTCAGAGCCGCGTCAGAAGGGGACGGTGCCGGCTCCACAATGCGGAAGTGCCGAACCCGGAAGAGATACCGCATGACAGGACCCCCCACCTAAGGAGCACACTCCGGGTGCTGTTACCTCGGTTTCTGAGGGTACCTTTTGTTAAAAGCAGTAATTAACTTCTTTGCATGAATTTCAGAGGAATTCTCCCAGGTGTTATCTTCATCTCCATAACCCTTCCATTTAATAAGGTATTGTAAGTTACCTCTATGAAGTCTGGAGTCAAGAATTTTCTCTATTTCATATTCCAATTCACCTTGAACTTCCATGGGGTCAGGCTTTGACAATTGTTCCCTATGGAAGGGATCTGGGAGAACAGACTTGAGAAGGGAAACATGAAAAACAGGATGAAGTTTAAGTGAAGGAGGAAGTTTCAATTTCACAGCATTTTCATTAATAATGGATTCAATTTGAAAAGGTCCAAGGAAAAGAGGACTAAGTTTCTTAGAAGGACGGTTAGTGGAAATATTTTTCGAAGATAGCCAAACAGTGTCACCAATTTTACATTTAGGAGGCGGTCTCCTTTTAATGTCATAATTCCGTTTATGTAAGATCATAGAACCTTCAAGATTTTTCTTTAAGTGATTAAACAATGAGGACAATTCCATATTTTGAATAGAAACCATTGGATTCGAAGTTGCCTTGGGATCATCAGGAAACTATAAAAATAAACGTGAAGAAACCGTAAAGTCAGATTGCGTATTAGTACTTTTCAATAATATAGACATACCGTATATACTCGAGTATAAGCCGAGTTTTTCGGCACATTTTTTGTGCTGAAAAACCCCATCTCGGCTTATACTCGAGTCACTGTCTGTATTATGGCAATTTACATTAACATTACATTTACATTGCCATAATACAGACTGGGGGCTGGCAGAGCTGTTACTTACCTCTCCTGCAGCTCCTGTCAGCTCTCTCCTCCTCCGCGCCGGTCCGGTCAGCACCTCGGTCAGCTCCCAGTGTAAGTCTCGCGAGAGCCGCGGGGTCATAGTGCGGCTCTCGCGAGACTTACAGTGTGAGCTGAGAGAAGAGCTGCACGGACCGGCGCGGAGGAGGAGAGAGCTGACAGGAGCTGCAGGAGAGGTAAGTAACAGCTCTGCCAGCCCCCTCCTCCCCCCACTGAACTGCCAATGCCACTGGACCACCAGGGAAGGAGAGCCCCCCTCCCTGCCATGTATCAAGCAGGGAGGGGGGACAACAAAATAAATAAATTAATAATATATAAATAATAATAAAAATAATATAAAAAATAATATAAATAATAATAAAAAATAATAATAATAATATAACAAAACAAATTAAAATAATATAAAAAATTTTTTTTTATAAAAATGCCCACCCCCCCACCAAGGCTCTGCAACACAAACACACACTGCATCACACACACACTGCACTCATATACACACACAGCATTCACACACACACTGCATTCACACACACACTGCATTCATACACACACATTGCATTCTCATACACACACACTGCACTCTCATACTCACACACTGCACTCATACACACACACACTGCGCACTCATACACACACTGTGCACTCATACACACACTGTGCACTCATACACACACTGTGCACTCATACACACACACTGCATTCATCATATACACACACTGTAAATAAATATTCAATTAATATAATTTTTTTAGGATCTAATTTTATTTAGAAATTTACCAGTAGCTGCTGCATTTCCCACCCTAGTCTTATACTCGAGTCAATACGTTTTCCCAGTTTTTTGGGGTAAAATTAGGGGCCTCGGCTTATATTCGGGTCGGCTTATACTCGAGTATATACGGTATATTATTGTGGCGAGCATTTGGCCCAAGACTATATATACAAAAGACTGATTGATATATATATATATATATATATATATATATATATATCTATCAATCAATCAACTGAAGACAAGGAGAAATTAAGAAGATTTAACGTTGCCGATCGTTCAAACAAGATTTTACATTGGCGAGCCAGCCAGGAGAAGAAATATATATATATATATATATATATATATATATATATATATATATATATATATACACACACACACACACACATAAAAGACTTATTCAACTAAAGAAAAACACAACCAGTTATTACAGAACTCAACTGCAGCTTGTAGAACTCCTTAATTACAATAGTAAAGAAACAAAGAATCTTTAAAGAATCAATACTGTAGCTTTAAGAAAAGAGAGGATTGCTGGCAATTTGAGAATCAAATGACGTTTTAATAATTGATAAACTTAAATGAATTGCATATAGGCAATAATCCAATAAGAAGAAAGTGCAGGTTATCAAACAATACAAAGTTCATTAATAAGTATTTCCTCAGAGAAGTATTAAATAAGCGTCTTTAGGTTGCTGGGAATAATCTTTGTGACAGAACGCTGGCACTCCGACTGAGTACCTCTGCCAATCGATGCGCCTAGTGCTCGCTGAGGACTCCAAGCACTCCAACCAACACCATCAGCACTGCAGACCCCACTTCCAGCGATACAGCTGCGCCGGGGTCTCGCCGTCTCCACCCACCCTGGATCCACGACCAGGATCCAGCTCCCAGTGGGTGAACCTCTCCTAAATCCAGAGAGCGTAGCAGGAACAAATCAAGCTATTGCAAGAGCTTACTCTGGGGAGTAAGTGATTATAGCAATCCCCAGAGTGTAGGTATCCCTTCCCCCAAACATAAGCCAAGGCTTCAAGAAAGGTACAAGATGATCTGATTTGAATGACCACACACTGGCTTTTATGCAAGTCCCCATGCATGGGGACATCCCACAGGGTGGGACACAGTATAACCAATCACAGACAATACAAACAAAACACTCCCACAGTGACATCACAATCCCTCCTCTCTATCCTGGAGATAATTGGGAAGTAATTAAATTATCTCCCAGGACAGAGGCAAGACTCCATTAACCACATGGTTACAAAAAGACATACAATTACACAATGTTACAATTACTACATAAAACATATACATGCAACATATCCCCAGATAGCTTAGAGTTCACATTATTATTGAATGGCGCTCAGATCACATACATACAATTCAATCGCCATGGAGCCAAAGTCTTTTCCATAGTCTTTCGTTACACGAATTGGCTCCATGACATAGCTATCTGGGGTAGCACTACTCACATACTGAAAGTCCCGAACAACCCGGAAGAAATACCCAAATAAACCTTATTGCAGGGTAAAATACAGCTATCAGCACAGGGGCCATAGTCGGAAGGCAGAAGGCTAGCCAGTAGTCCCCTCCAGGCACAAGTGGCGAAGGGCACTTCGTCACAATCTTCAATAGAAACATTAAGCAGGTAGCAGAGAGTATTTGCAAAGCAAGAAACAGTTCATAGTAAATAAGCATGATGGGAGTTGTCCTCCATATAATTAGTAACTTGAAGCAGAGAAGTTCTGAGCAAGCAGGAATTGGTTCGAAGAAACAGTTCATAGTAAATAAGCATGATGGGATTTGTCCTCTATATAATTAATAACTTGAAGCAGAGAAGATTTGAGCAAGCAGGAATTGGTTCATTAATAAATGATATTGCAGACAATAGTTGAAATATATACTTAAGGTTAAGGAGAGTTGTCCTCCAAGAGTTATAGTCCACTTGTAAATTAGCAAAGTATCCGTTCTCCAGTAATCTTCTATGGCATGCAGCTTAATCCTTGCATTGACTCAAAGGCTAGGACGGCTTGTCAGAGCTTGTGGAGCCGGCGTGTATACCCAGAAGTAGGTCCCACAATCACCAAGTGCCTGCTCCCTGGCGCGGTCTCCCTAAGTACTGTCAGAGCCGCATCAGAAGGGGGCGGGGCCGGCTCCGCAATGTGGAAGTGCTGAACCCGGAAGAGATACCGCATGACAATCTGGATGGTCTAGAACAGGTATAGGATTCAAGGGAGAATTTTCATCTTGATGGAGTTGATGCGTCCCGTCCATGAAAAATGTAGTGTAGTCCACGATTTCATATCCGTAAAGAGGCGGGAGAGCAGGGGTTGAAAAATTCAGTTGGTACAGCTGGTGTAGATTCTTAGGGACCCAGACCCCCAGGTATTTGATGCGGTCCGTGCACCAGCGAAAGGGAAAGCGTGTCTTTAGGTTGTCCAGATCTCGTGCTGGAACTGTGACATTAAGCACCTCTGACTTGTCCAGATTCAGTTTGAAATTACTGATGTTTCCGTAAGTTTTGAATTCGGCTATAATGTTCGGGAGGGAGATTTACGCTTGCTCTATGTAGAACAAAAGATCGTCTGCGTAGGGCGAGACCTTATGCGCCACCTTCGCAAATCAGATTCCATGGATCGAGGGGTTAGACCGAAGTGCACAAAGAAAAAGCTCAAGTGTGAGGACAAATAGTATGGGGGAGAGAGGACATCCCTGCCGCCTCCCATTCGTAATTCGTACTGGCGTGGAGAGTCGCCCGTTCACACGCACTCTAGCCATTGGTTCGGAATAAAGAGCCCGGATCCACTTGCAGAAGGGTTCCCCAAAGCCCATCTTCTGTTGTGTGCAGAACATGTATCGCCAGTCCACCCGGTCAAACGCCTTTTCTCGTCCGTTGAGAGTATTACCAGGGGACGGCGCGAAGTGGTAGCTAAGTGCATAAGGTTGAGGAGCCTAATAGAGTTGTCCTTTGCTTCCCTTCCCGGTATGAACCCACTCTGATCCGGGTGTATCAGAGATGGGAGGATTGCCTTCAAACGGGACGCTAGTATTCTGGCCAGCAGTTTGCAGTTGGAGTTAAGCAACAAAATTGTCCAATAACTGGCGCATTGTTCTGGATCTTTGCCTTCTTTGTGCAGAATGGTGATGTGGGCCATGAGCGATTCTTTATCAAGTCTGCCGTCTTGTGACGAGTTAAATGAGGCAGTCAGCGGTATTTGAAGGACGTCGCCAAATTTCTTGTAGTATTGCAATGGGAGGCCATCCGGGCCTGGCGTCCTTCCTGTTTTGGAGGACTTGATGGCCCTCTGAAGCTCTTCGATGGTGATTTTCCGATCTAGGGCAGATGCTACGTCCAGTGAGATTGTCTTGTGTACATGTGTCGAGAGGTACACCTCTATCTCCTCGAGCAGTCTGGCTGAGAGTGCCGATTCCGCGGCTTCAGATTATAGAGCTTTGTGTAGTAGGCGTGGAATAGTTTATCCATTTCAGACGGATGTTCGGAGTGACGGGTGGGACCTATGTATGTCTATGTATGTGGAGTTTATGTATGTGGAACCTCTCGCCTTTTTTAAAAGCATTTTCGCCATAAGGCGACCACACTGGAATGTTCGTAGAAGAATCGCCTGGATTTTTGCAGCATAGAGAAATGTTGTTGAGTGATAAGTGATAAGAGGAGCTCGCGTAGGTCTTAGTCGCTGAGAGTTTGTTTATGACGGATTTCAACAGTCGCAATCCCGTCCAGGATGCTCCGGATTCGTTCCGCCCCGACTCTCTTCTAGTGCGCTCCTATGGACATGAGAATTCCTCAGATCACACTCTTGTGAGGCAGTCTATTCTCGTGTACGATCCATGTACCGCCGAATAATACGAGTAGTCCCTTTTCTCCAGATGGAGAGTCCTCCAGCAGTCTACCAAGTGTAAGGTCCGTAAGGCTTTCTTCATACATCTAATATGCGTATATGTAATCTCACTCCTTCCCCTTGATGTGTCCATCGAAGGGTCCAATGACACGTTGAGGTCACCTCCCAGTATCAACAGTCCTTCTGAGAAGTCTGCCAAGCAGCCGCAGCGTCTTTGCGATGAATATGTGTTGGCCGGAGTTGGGGGCACATATCTGTCAGGGTGGCAGTCCGAAGACCGGGACCCCTATGCCTGATGTGGAGATGAGTGGAGTCTTCAGCGTGGTAGTGGATAGGAAAGGCCTGGTGCAGGGTAACCGCATGCCCCCTGGTGTTGAGCACCAGCGTTTGTGCGGCCACATACCAAGACCCTGTTGCAGCTTAGTGGAAGCCAGAGCAGATGAATGCTGAGATGTATCCAGTACTAGAAACAAGACAAGGCTAGAATAGGCACCAAACAAGAAAACAAGGCAGAACTAGTAGAACCCAGAACCAGAGAAGGATAGAAAGCTAAACCCAGAACATGTACACAATACACAAGAGAAACATTAACTAAACTGGGGAAGGACAGGACAGGACTGTGAATACAAAATAAAACAAGACAAGATATAATAGGCAAAACAAGAGGAGACAAAACTAAGTACTATATATGAAAACTATGGGGATTTTGTTACATTATATGATCATACATTGCATAAGCCTGCCACAACGCCAATGTACCCCATATTCAGCAGGTCCTACTCTGCCTAATGTTCGCTAAAAGAACCATAATAAAACATATACAGCACTTACCTGCAAGGAAGGAGCAGATGACTTGAAGCATCTGCCTGCAGGAACCAACTGAAACAAAAGGAACCATGGAAAAGGAACGGGTGTGGCAACATAAAACAAAACATTTAAATGAATCCTGGATACTGGAAATTCCAGGGATGGAATACAGGAATGAACCCAGAAATCCCAGCATGAAGAAAACCAGACATAGAATAGAAAACCAGAAAAACCAAGAAAAACTAAACAATAATTGTAAAAAGAGTACTGGATACCAGAAGCCATAGTCAGACATCAGAAAAGAGGAGCAGTTCCTGACAATATCGTGGTGAAGGTGAAAAGTTGCGAGTTTCACAAAAAGGTATCTTCCTTCAGAGTCCGTCTTATGGTCTAAGAGGACAAACGGGGTCCCTTGTGAGAACAGGATCGCCACCCCGGCTTTTTAGCCCAGTGAATGTGATGCCAAGTAACTAGTAGGGAACCGCCTGTCCTTCAATGCTTGTTCTGAACCCAGCTTGAAGTGTGTCTCCTGTATCATAGTGACCGACATCTGGAATGACCACAGTTCCCTCAGCAATCTACCCGGTTCACTGGGGACCACCAATATTAGGGTGGCAGTCCAACCAGTGCCTGTGTAGAAATTAGTCACTCCTCCCACGTTAGCACCCCCTAGGGATTTGCGGCTTGACGTCCGGACAATACCCCTTACCCGGGTTGTCTTATCTAATTGTCGAGTGCTAGTCTCAACCGTGTTGGTTCAGACTCCTACCCCGTTAGTCCCGGCCGGTGTGTACCCCCCGGTCCAGATGTTGTCAGTCAGACGTGGGTGTGGGTTGTCCATAGATCCCCTCTAAATGTTGGCCTGGCCTAAAGGCAGCCGGGGAGCAAGCGCGGCCCCAAAAGCCCCATCCTCAGTTGCCCCTCAGGGTATGAGACGCTAAGAGGCACCGAGAGGACTTAGCATGTAACTACCCAAGGCCGTCAGTTTATTATGCGTTACGTTATAGTGCAGTTGGGGCAGCTTTGTGTTGTGTTACTTGCCAGAGCCAGGAAAGGGGGAGAGGGAAGCGGGGCAACCACGGTATCAGATAACTGTGTTATACTATATAATACGTGATGCATACTGTAACGGAGCTCCTTGTACTCCGACCGAGTACCCTCCGTTGATGGATGCTCCTAGCGCTTCCTGAGGACTCCAAGCACCGCCGCAGACACCACAACCACCGCAGACTCCGCAACCGCCGTATCTTGACTGGAGTCTCACCGTCTTCCTTCCACCCTGGATCAGCTTCTGTCCTCCAGGACTGTGTGGTGAAGACCCCTCCTCCAAGGAGAGCATGTCAGGAACAAGCTCTTAAAAGAGCTAAGTGACTCAAGCTCAGGGGAGCATGCATAGCATAGCAATCCCCAGTGTGATTATAACAGCTCCCTCCAATAACGAGACAAGGCTACGTTTAGAGGGATCAAGAAAAACTGTCAAAACCTTTATTCCCTTGGGACCAGCCAATACAGTCACCACAATAACATTGTTGTGAAACCTCAATAAAATCACAAACAGTCAAACCATATCAAGAAACACACAGTGACTTATCACAACACAATGGCACATTTTTAAAGGGGTGGGGGGAGACAATATTTAACAGTAAATATCTCACCTGCCTGCAGAATTAGCAATATGCAAATCTACCCGAATATGCAAATGAACCAGTCTTGCAATTCAGGTAGTGCATATTGCTGTTGCTACCAACAGAGGGCACTAGACCAGCTCCATAGCCAAACCCACCTAGTTGGTAGCAAACCTCAGCAGTACAGGAGAGAAGGCAATACATTTCACAGTACACACACACACTATAAACAATTACATTACACACACCCTGCACCTATAATGGGTACAGGGTGACTAAAACATAAGATAAATAAAGCAGCCTACATAAATAGTCTGTCTGAAGGTAGAATAGGGGCTTTAAAGGCAAATACATCAAAGAGTCATAGTCACAGGGGAGGAGGCTGGCAAGCAGGCCTCTCCAGTACCAAGTGGCGAAGGGCACTTCGTCACATATACCTAGACTCCTTCCGGAGGGGACGAAAGAGGGACCCAGCCAGAACGACACCCCCGCACCTCCTCCCCGCAAGCCCCAAGCGAGCCATCCGCATTGTGGCACCACCCATGCCCTTGATTAACTTTCAACACGGCAAAACTTTTAGCTTAGCCAGTTAGGATGTACTGCTGTCTGGCGTTATGTGCGGTTGGGAACATGGGGGGGGGGGAAGCGGCGAGAAGAAAGAGTAAAACTACTACTCAAATAATAGTTGATAAGAACAGTTGTGGACCTGTGGTGGTTGGGGGTACACCCCGTTGGTAGCCTTGTTGAGGTGAGTGAAGGGGAGTACAGGGTACTAGCATTCCACCTCTATCCAGAGAAGTCCAGACCTCTCAGAGCACTCCCACTCCCAAGCCCTCATTCAGAGCAGAGGGCCACGGGTGCCCCCCCGTGAAGCACGTAGGTCCCGCAGCTCACCCCTAGAGTTACCCCAGGGGTCGGTCCCGAGGCCTCCACTCCGGGGGCCAGCGGAGATATTCGCAGGCTGGAGTATAGACCTCCACATAGTCCGGGCAGGGAAACACCCCGTGCCGCCTTCGTCAGGGACAGCACCACCAGTACCCAGACTCCCCCCAGCTAGCGGACTGACGCCCCCGGCACTGCCTAGCCACTCCAAAGGCCCAGATCACCCAAAACAAGAAGCCCAGAATCCCCGCCTGACAGGATCGTAGTGTATTAAGACGCCAATTATTGACCCTGGGGCAGGTTCCCAGACCCCATGTCCCGGGTGGCCACTAAACTACGTGTATATAGGGGTATCGGTTGCACTGTCTCAAAGGTCTGGAAAGTTGGCAAGAATGTCACCATTGTGGCAGCAGACCCCGTCAAGGCCTCCACCCTCCTGAAGCACTCCCCCCCACCCAACAGCCCCCAGACCTGAAACTTGGGTCACAGTTCCTGGGTAAATCACTCTCATTCCTCCGATCTGTGCGGCGTGGCCCAGCCAGACGTGGCGAAGGTGAGTGGAGTGCCTGGAGCTGGCGCGGTCGAGATCGTTGTTCTCTAGGCGGCTGGGTGCAGGATCCAGTTTTGAACTGTCGTGTGGGGTAGCTCAAGGGCTCCGAGGAACACCGGCACATCATCTGGCGTCTTGATGGTAGCCCAGGCTTCACCGGACCTTGCATGTAGGCAGAAGGGGAAGCCCCAGCGGTATATAAAGTTGTGGTTACAGAGGAGACTCGTGATGGGGCATAATGCTGGCCGGGCATCCAGAAAGAGCGGTGACAGGTCCTGGTATAAACTAACCGCTGCATTGTGGAATTGCCATACCCGGCGGTCTCTGGCTTGATGCATTATAAGTTCTCTGTTGGATCGAGTGTAGGCAGCAAATTACACCTCGGGGCGTGCCATCTTACCTGGGTTGGCGGAGAGCTCTGTGCGTGATCTAGTTGGAAGGTCTCTGGGTCGTCATTTCCCAAGATTAAATTGAAGAGTGCTTGCATCGTGGCCTCAAGCGGTTCCCCCTGCATGCTGTAAGGTAGGCCTCGGATCCTAATATTGCATCTCCTGCCCCTATTGTCCAGGTCTTCTACCTGTCTCCTGACGTCTAGCAGCATGTTCTCCTGCCTTGTGGCTGCTAGTTCTGCAGCCTGGTGTCACTGGGTGGAAGTGGTAGCTGTAGCCTCAAGTGTGGCCACCCTGGCTTGAAAGGAAGAGACATCCTGCCTGATCACAGCCAGTTCAGCCCGGATTGTAACTTTAAGGGAGGCCTCCAGTGCCCCTGCATCCACCTTGGTGAACATAGCCTGCGAGATGGCACGCAGGTCAGCCCTCAGCTGCGACATGGGGTAGGGTGAGGATGCCTCGCTGAGCACGGAGGGTCCTGGTCTTTCGGGTTCCGAGGAGACGTCCACGTGGTGTGTGGCCGAGGTACCCATGAGCTCCGCCGGCATGGACAGGAGCTTGTCCATCGGTCCAGCCCAGTAAGGTGTCTGAGTGTTGCACGTGGCTGGGGAGGACAGGACTTGCGTGTTCGGTCCATCTGGACCGGGTAGGTTGCTGTTAGCTGCGTTAAGCGGGACCCGGTGTCAGGAGCCAAGGTCTCAAGCAGCCACCTTGCCCGCCTGCCAAACCACGCCCCCATGTGACTTTTTGATTCCATTTGTTACTTATCCTCAATCCAGACACCCATATCTAATGTGAATAGAATATGCAATATTCTACAGATGACTATATAGAGATAACTGTAATTATACCCCCTGCTCACAAGAGTTAATCAGCCCAGAATTCTGTTCCAGGCTGACTAATATTACTTCTGTGCAAAAATTATGTCTGTAGGCTGGCAACGGACATAATTACAGTCTTCATTTGCGGGCCCCGGTGAGTGCTTGCAAGTAGTAGCCTAACATCCCTCCAGCCAGCCAGCCCCTTGCTCTCCAACCGCCACTTTCATCACCCTCTGTACAGATGACGCAGCATGACTTGAGAGGAGGCAGAGACACAATCATGGAGGACTTGACCCAGCACTGGACTATAGGTAAGTTTAACTCAATAGGGCTCAGATACTTAAAAAAGAAAGGTTGTAATACCCCTTTAAAAATACCACTTAAAACAGCTGGGTTGCAAAAAAAACCCCAAAAAAAACATTTTATACAATGTTCCAATAGGAAGATGGGTCAACTAGTACAGTGTGTCTTTAAACTACAATCAATGTGTAAAAAAGTCTGTGTAAATAGGATACATTGTTCATGTTCTAAATTACATTTTAGTCACATAAATTGCTATCAGTAAGTCACCTAAAATTTATCAGAACAGCCCTGGCTATACCTCTATTCACAAACTTTAAATGAAACTGTCCCTCTTTGTCCATTTGAAAGGTTGGGAGGTATGCACATATAACATAAGAAGTTTTAAAGTGACAGTATACACAAAAGCACATAAGGATTAAGAAATTCATAACAGCTTAAATACAAGGCAAAACAAATATATCTAAAATCCATATGATTTAAGGGGGAGGGTAGAAGAATCCATGCTGCCTACAATGAAGCTTTTCTGATTTCAAACAAACAGTAGCTGCTGGGCTGCTGTACTGCTAGGGCTGACGACTACATTTTGTCTTTGCAATAACATATAAAATGCTATGTTGGCTCAAGTAAATTACTAAGTGTATAAAGAGCTCACAAGCCTGGGCACACCCCTATGGTTGTACTGCTGTTGCTGCTACTATATTGCTGGGGCTAAGATCATTATAATGTCACTGCAATTTACAGTAAGAAACAATGGGGTAAAAAGCAGGTGCTAATCTGGGGCATTTTTGCAGGCAGATTAGTACCTTTTAGATAGATTTACCCAAAAGAGTTTGAGGCGAGGGCAGAATGATCAGTTTTAAGAAAAGCAAGTGCAAATTTGTTTTTTTTTTATCTTAAGTTTTGTTTTTAAAACTAAAGCAAATCTATGTATATGGGAACACCAACAGATTTCTACAGTACATCGGGAAACACAGGCTTATTGCTTGCTTGTTTTTTTAGTCCTACACTTGTAAAAACACAACATAATTGTTCCCTTTCTTTGTTTTCTTTTTTCAGATGCTAAGAGCTTCAACACACTAATAAATATTTCCAGTCCTAAACTGAACAGAGTCACAGACTGCATGGAACACGCTCTGGCTGCCGTCTACCCCTGGACCCGATACCCTCCTGGTTGGGACTGCAAACTCTACATCCTCCCTGCTTCTTACCTTCCCACAGTCCCAAACCAGCTCAACAAGCAAACAAGCCATGAATTCTTGCTGTGAAACCCCTGTACCAGTTACCAGTATGAGAAAGTGTGAGAGCGATAACTCCAAATTTAACACACCTTCTCCCCATACACACCTGAGACCTTGTAAAACCAAGGAGTCACATGACACTGGGGAGGGAAAATGGCTAATTGGGCCCAATTTGGACATTTCCACTTAGGGGTGTACTCACTTTTGTTGCCAACGGTTTGAACATTAATGGCTGTGTGTTGAGTTATTTTAAGGGGACCGCAAATGTACACTGGTATACAGGCTGTACACTTACTACTTTACATTGTAGCAGAGTGTAAGTTCATCAGTGTTGTCACATGAAAAGATATAATAAAATATTTACAAAAATGTGAGGGGTGTACTCACTTTTATGAGATACTGTATAATACTCTTCAACAGTTTACAGGACCACAAGAGTCACCAAGTCCACTTCATTTCAATGAAGTGGTCTGGGTGCCGTGGTCCTGTAGGTTAAACCTAACTAGAAACGGAAATGTTTACCTTTAAATGTTAAGCATGCCTCTAGTAGCTGTCATACTGACAGTAACTAGAGGCGCCTTTGCTGCAATTAATTTTTTAGCTATGAGAAGCATTGGATGTGCATAGCGCTTGCCACTCATGAATATCAGGTCCCCAATGCACCGGTATGAGAAACATTGGATTGGACCAGTGTTGCTGCATCGGTGACATAGCGGGAGGAAGGAAGGAAAGCAGTGCAGCGGGATTCTTGGTTCTTGAAAAAACATAAGGGGCTTAAATTTACGTAGGGACAGTGGCACTATAGTATTCGGAATACATGCTTATATTCCTAACACTATAGTGTACCTTTATAAGTATTGATAATTTTTAAATTAAAACTGACTTTTGTGCACAAATGCAATCACTGACACATACACACACACACACACACATTCACTCACACTCACAATCAGTGACCCATGCACTCACAAATCCATTGACTTATACAAACTAACACAATGATCCATGCAAACACACCCTGACTCATACAGACACAATCACTAACCCATACAGACACAGACTGGCAGCATATTTTTCATACATGAACACAGGCTGTCATTTTTCAAACAGAACAGTTCTTTATAATAAATAAAATATCTGAGCTATTTCATATACTTATATTCATACTTTCCTGCAGCTACAATCTCAATTTAGGTGTAAAATTAGTCACACCTTGAGGCTGACGATTAATGGGCTGGGAAAAGGATTTAGGGGATATTTTTTGCCTCTGGCCTCTACAGCTTAAAGTGATCTGGGTTCATCAACTTTTCTGTAATGGGACTAGAGCAGCAAACTATTTCTTCTGACTACAACATGTGCAAAACTTATGAAATTTGTATTTGTAAAACTTTATTTATAAATCTACATTCTGTGTATAACATAGTCAAATAAGCAAATGTATATATATTGTTTTCTGATGAAAAACAAATGTATAAATGATGTCACCAGAAAGCATATTAAGAATTTTAATGCACATCAGGTTTTTTTTTGCTGTCTTTTTAGCTATAAATAATAGCATCACTTTTTACATATTCATAAGTGGATTTACCTTTTTGATATAGCTAGAGTGCTAGACCTTGTCTAGATATCGAAGTCTTGTCTGCGGGTCAAATTTTTCAGCAAGACACCTGATGACTATTGTAGCCATGTTACCTACCAGATCCCAGGCATCTTGATGCACTGCCTGGCGGACGTTACTCTTCTTGTCTCAGCCCCTCTTCCTGCTATGCTTCCATCCCATGGAAAGAGGCAGGAGCGAGCAAACTATGCGTCCTTGCACTGCCTGGAAGGGTGGTGGGGTGGTGATGGCTCCAAGTAAACATCTTAAGCTGAGGTAGATGCTGGACCCTAGACAGCCTTAGCGCCTGGTGCCATGACCTTCCAAACCCACTTCATATATAGCCTAGTTTGATAGAGGGGAGCCACCCAAGGCAGCCGCCTAAGTGGCCTACAGGAAGCACAGACTGCTATAACAGAAATAAGCTATCATTGTGCAGCAGCAGGAGAGAAAAACCCAACAATGGAGCCTGCCCTGCATGAATGACTCTGATCAGACTCCCTCTCTTTTTCCTCTGTCAGGATGGTGCAAGGTGAAGATATCTTCCAATTATACATGTGTAAATCTGTTAGGAATGCCCAATGCACATCTCCATCATTTTTAGGGATAGGACACTGATTGGTTACATCAGTGTTCCACATGGTGTGGGTGTGGAAAACATAAGAAAGAAGCGAGTGTATATGATGGAAAAAAAAGAAAACCAAAATGTACCTGCTTTTTCAGCTTGCAGAGTGAGGTAACTGTCTAAAGATTTTAAATGTGACAGTTGTCTTAAAGTGATGGATATCCCTTTAAATATGTCTACACCTCTGATATCGGTAATAATAATAAAATTTGACTGCTGTTGAAATACAGTAATTCAAAACTTTCTTGCAGAAATTATAAATTTAAGTTTTACAGTTTACTGGCGGTTATACCTTAATGATATACCGTACATCAGGGGTACTCAACCTACTGATACCTACCGCCCACTTTTGTATCTTTGTTAATGGTAAAATTTCCTTACAACTCACCAGTGCCACAGAAACAAATTTTATAGCGCAAGTGCGATTTTTTTATTTCTTTTTTAGAGAGGTTTTTTTTATTTTTTATGTACTTACATTTATCATTTTTTTTTCTAGTTTCTATCCTACTTTTTTCTGTGTGAGTGTGTAGAGGGGTGCAGAGTGTGTGAAGGGGCAGTGTGTGTGAACGACGCTGTGTGTGTGAAGGGTGTTGTGCGTGTCTGAGGGGGGAAGTGCATGTGAGGGGCAGAATGTTTGTGTTAGGGGCGAAGTGTGGAAGGCTTGTGACTGAATGACAAAAGTAACCTTTTCTATATGTTGTAAACAAATCTAACATAGATTTCTGGATTTGCAATTGTCACATATAAGTTAAAAGGTTACTCCAAACACCATGACTACTGTAGTGATCTGACGTGTTAATGGTGTCCAGAGACGGTATTTGCTATGAAAAGCTGCACATACGGAGATGAACCCCTATACTTTTATGGAAAAGTATTATTTACCCAATGCTGCTTTAGAGTAAGCTGATACCCTATATTACGATATTTATTTTCTGTATGTCATTCCGGCAATAAATATATATTTTTTGAGCACAAGTAAATAATTGTGTGCTCATATGTTTTATATTTAAGAGTCTATTCTCCAAAAAAAAAGGAAATTGAGGTGAATTTGCAAGGGGATTTTAAAATCTCGTGTGCAGCTCTTCTTTCAGCTACTTTGGTCTAGCTTTTGCAATTCCTCTGCAAATTCAACTTAATGGAATTTGTTGAGGCTATCCTGTTTAATATTTCGCATATGTGCTTACTAACAGTGATATTTAACCTGTGCTGATCCTGTAACAGAGCTGCTTGGCCTCATGCTGACCCAGCTAGCTTTCTCCTCTGATGCTCCAACCTGCATGGAGAATAGGGCCAGCTGCTCCTGGATCTCACCATAGAGGGGAACTTGGAGACTTGTTGGGGCTCCCCGGCTGGGGCTGGGTGGCTGCTGCCCCCCTGCACTCTGCTCAGATGGTGCCCTTCCATAACTGCTTTATGTGAGAGACAGGCCTCCTCTCATGGCCCTGGCTGTGCCTGTTCTGTCTCCCTTCTTCGTCACCTCAAACTCCCACTCCCTCCCTCGGAGACCTATCCCTGCTTCCTCAATGGAAATCTCCCAACCTACACCAGCAGACTATGCCGACACCATCCCCTCTCTCACCCTTCACATACTGAAAGCACCACAGATGCTGCTGCAGGCAGTGGCGTACCACCACCCGGTGTCACCGATAATGGGGATGTCCGGGGAGTGCCGGTGCATTGTTCCTGATGGGACCATGGTGCCCAGGCGGCACCATGAGTACCGCTATATATGTATGCAGCGGAGGGGCAGCAGACTCCTCCAGCAGCACGGCCTGTGACCTCTCACTGTGCTAGAGCATCGCCTCCGCGCGACATGCTGGAGCATTGTCATGGCAACCAACGGCAACGCGCTCGCGGATCGCGAGAACACAGGACTTGCTGCTGGAGAAGTAAGAGGAGATTACTGAGCCCCTCCCCCCGCCTTCCATGGCCACAGGTAGGGGGGTAGGGGGGTAAACACAATGAATACAAAATGCCCCACCCCCCCCAACACACACACTTATTACATACAACACTACATACACTCACTCTGTGTATCTGTTTATGTGTAACTATATGTGTCATTGTGTATAATATATGTGTGTGTGTCATTGTGTATAATGTGTGTGTGTGTGTGTGTCATTGTGTATGATATATATAAATATCTATGTGTGTCTGTATAACCGTAGCTGTATGTGTGTCACTGTGTGTATCTCTATAACCGTAACTGTATGTGTGTCACTGTGTGTATCTCTATAACCGTAACTGTATGTGTGTCACTGTGTGTATCTGTATAACCGTAGCTGTATGTGTGTCACTGTGTGTATCTGTATTAACTGTAACTGTATGTGTGTCACTGTGTGTATCTGTATAACCGTAACTGTATGTGTGTCACTGTGTGTATCTGTATATCCGTATGTGTGTCACTGTGTGTATGTGTGTATGTGTGTCACTGTGTGTATCTGTATAACCGTAACTGTATGTGTGTCACTGTGTGTATCTGTATATCTGTATCGGTATGTGTGTCACTGTGTGTATCTGTATAACCGTAACTGTATGTGTGTCACTGTGTGTATCTGTATAACCGTAACCGTATCTGTATATCTGTATGTGTGTCACTGTGTGTATCTGTATATCCGTAACTGTATGTGTGTCACTGTGTGTATCTGTATAACCGTAGCTGTATGTGTGTCACTGTGTGTATCTGTATATCCGTAACTGTATGTGTGTCACTGTGTGTATCTGTATATCCGTAACTGTATGTGTGTCACTGTGTGTATCTGTATAACCGTAACTGTATGTGTGTCACTGTGTGTATCTGTATATCTGTATCAGTATGTGTGTCACTGTGTGTATCTCTATAACCGTAAGTGTATGTGTGTCACTGTGTGTATCTCTATAACCGTAACTGTATGTGTGTCACTGTGTGTATCTCTATAACCGTAGCTGTATGTGTGTCACTGTGTGTGTCTGTATATCCGTAACTGTATGTGTGTCACTGTGTGTATCTGTATATCCGTAACTGTATGTGTGTCACTGTGTGTATCTGTATAACCGTAACTGTATGTGTGTCACTGTGTGTATCTGTATATCTGTATCGGTATGTGTGTCACTGTGTGTATCTCTATAACCGTAACTGTATGTGTGTCACTGTGTGTATCTGTATATCCGTAGCTGTATGTGTGTCACTGTGTGTATCTGTATATCCGTAACTGTATGTGTGTCACTGTGTGTATCTGTATAACCGTAGCTGTATGTGTGTCACTGTGTGTATCTGTATATCCGTAGCTGTATGTGTGTCACTCTGTGTATCTGTATATCCGTAACTGTATGTGTGTCACTGTGTGTATCTGTATAACCGTAACTGTATGTGTGTCACTGTGTGTATCTGTATATCTGTATCAGTATGTGTGTCACTGTGTGTATCTCTATAACCGTAACTGTATGTGTGTCACTGTGTGTATCTGTATAACCGTAACTGTATGTGTGTCACTGTGTGTATCTGTATATCCGTAACTGTATGTGTCACTGTGTGTATCTCTATAACCGTAACTGTATGTGTGTCACTGTGTGTATCTGTATATCCGTAACTGTATGTGTGTCACTGTGTGTATCTGTATATCCATAACTGTATGTGTGTCACTGTGTGTATCTGTATATCCGTAGCTGTATGTGTGTCACTGTGTGTATCTGTAAATCCGTAACTGTATGTGTGTCACTGTGTGTATCTGTATATCCGTAACTGTATGTGTGTCACTGTGTGTATCTGTATATCCGTAACTGTATGTGTGTCACTGTGTGTATCTGTATAATCCGTAACTGTATGTGTGTCACTGTGTGTATCTGTATATCCGTAACTGTATGTGTGTCACTGTGTGTATCTGTATATCCGTAACTGTATGTGTGTCACTGTGTGTATCTGTAAATCCGTAACTGTATGTGTGTCACTGTGTGTGTCTGTATATCCGTAACTGTATGTGTGTCACTGTGTGTGTCTGTATATCCGTAACTGTATGTGTGTCACTGTGTGTATCTGTATATCCGTAACTGTATGTGTGTCACTGTGTGTATCTGTATATCCGTAACTGTATGTGTGTCACTGTGTGTATCTGTATAACCGTAGCTGTATGTGTGTCACTGTGTGTATCTGTATATCCGTAGCTGTATGTGTGTCACTGTGTGTATCTGTATAACCGTAGCTGTATGTGTGTCACTGTGTGTATCTGTATAACCGTAGCTGTATGTGTGTCACTGTGTGTATCTGTATAACCGTAGCTGTATGTGTGTCACTGTGTGTATCTGTATATCCGTAGCTGTATGTGTGTCACTGTGTGTATCTGTATATCCGTAACTGTATGTGTGTCACTGTGTGTATCTGTATATCCGTAACTGTATGTGTGTCACTGTGTGTATCTGTATAACCGTAGCTGTATGTGTGTCACTGTGTGTATCTGCATATCCGTAGCTGTATGTGTGTCACTATGTGTATCTGCATATCCGTAACTGTATGTGTGTCACTGTGTGTATCTCTATATCCGTAACTGTATGTGTGTCACTGTGTGTATCTCTATATCCGTGACTGTATGTGTGTCACTGTGTGTATCTCTATAACCGTAACTGTATGTGTGTCACTGTGTGTATCTGTATATCCGTAACTGTATGTGTGTCACTGTGTGTATCTGTATAACCGTAGCTGTATGTGTGTCACTGTGTGTATCTGTATATCCGTAACTGTATGTGTGTCACTGTGTGTATCTGTATATCCGTAACTGTATGTGTGTCACTGTGTGTATCTGTATATCCGTACCACTGTGTGTAATATCCGTAACTGTATGTGTGTCACTGTGTGTATCTGTATATCCGTAACTGTATGTGTGTCACTGTGTGTATCTGTATATCCGTAACTGTATGTGTGTCACTGTGTGTATCTGTATATGTGTATCTGTAAATCCGTAACTGTATATATGTCACTGTGTGTATCTGTATATCCGTAGCTGTATGTGTCACTGTGTGTATCTGTATATCCGTAACTGTATGTGTGTCACTGTGTGTATCTGTATATCCGTAACTGTATGTGTGTCACTGTGTGTACTTGTATATCCGTAACTGTATGTGTGTCACTGTGTGTATCT